AAATGAAAAAATGAAAAAATGAAAAATCACAAAAGACCCTCCCCAGATGAGGGCCGAATCGGAGTATCCCCTGCAGGATCCACGCAGGGATATCTGCAGCGAAATCGTTTAGGGATTTCCAGGAAAGCTCGTATTTAAGTGGTTAAAAAGTGAAAAATGAAAACCTAAAAAAAACCCAAAAAAAAGTCAGCCCATTTTTCCTTTTTGTCTTATACATTCTCCCTTTCAAGTTCCACGACTGAGGTCAGAGAGTTGTACGGACCCGGACAGAGCGCGCATCCGGAGTGCTGTGGCATGACTCTGTACTTACCGCGAATAGGTGTATAGACACAAGCATGTAACCAGTACTTATGCTTTAGCGGTGTGGCAGGAGTTGCACCGACAATGGTTGCAAATCTTGCAGCGCCAAATAGCCACGAATGGGCCTGAATTGCAGTCGGAGCAGCGCCAGGTGAGGATGTTGCCGTTGGTTGCCTGCACGATGGCAAAGACATGTCCGGAGCATTGGTTGGCCATTTTGCTTCGTTTCGACTGATGGCACTTCAGCCGGTTAGTGGAAGGTCGAATCAACGATTGAAGATGATGTTGAACTTACAAATATCTGATGAGCAAGGGTGACAAAGAAGCTTTCTGTTGACCGCCACTGAACCGTGGAACGAGGTGGGGACTAGAAGGAAAAGGGGACAGGGCAGTAGAGGACCCAGGAGTAGATCAAGAATTATGGACGAGAAATGGCACTCCCAGCCTTGGGCCGTTGAGGTGGCAATAAATATCCGCCGCAAGGGGAGAAAGGTACAATAGATGATGCGCGAGTCAGTTAAGACTCTGTTGGTTGATCTCGAGGAATGGAGGATTGGGGGGTAGGCAAAGAGACGGAATGGGATTGTTGGCAGTGAAGAATGAGGAAGAAGTGTAGCTGATGGGGGAAGGAACGATGGGGATGAAGCTCCATAGTATAAATAGGTCGGACTTTCAATTAGGACCAGGGCAAGACAGAACAAGAGGCATATCCTTTATTGAGGCATCAATGGATACAGAGCGCTCGGAGTGACCGTTCAACATAGGATATCCCAACCAGTGTGACAAGGTCCAGACCCTGGAGTCTAGCAAGCTGCATCGAACGACTCTGTTGCGGAAAAGTGATGCAAGTACCCGATCGTTGTCTAAGAAAGGACAATTAGTGGAGTAGAGATGGGAAGCTGCGCACAGAATAAAGGGAAATTAAAAAAAGAAAGAAAATAATGGAATCGGCACGATCGATAGAAGAAGAAAAGAAAGAACCAGAGCCGAATCATTCTGATGGGAAAAAAAGAAAAGAAAAGAAACCCCAAAAAAATGACGATAATGACTTTGAACAAACAAATGAATTCATCACACAAAAATAAGAATATTCAAAATTAGGAAGTCTAGCCTCCGAAAATCGTCAGGCCGGAGCCAGTGATACGGTGCTTGGGTTCCCAGCAACCAACGCGCCGGAGAGAAAATAATCCAAAGAAAAGAAAAAAAGAAAAAAGAAATGAAACAAAGTTGATATATCGCCCAGGCAAGTGGGCCGGGGGTGGATATTAACACGGATCCTAGCTAGTCAATCCTCATGGGTAAAGACAAAGGATGATGCAACGGAGCTGGGTGAGGCTCACCGGGAAGTTTGGAAGTTCAAAGGATCCAAAGGATCATCCTTATTGAGATCTTAAGAGCCGAACCCGATAAATATCTGGGAGCAAGATCTCGATCCAGGAAATCGGGCCCGTATGATTGGAGATCGAGAAGCACCAAGGCACCGGTGCTGGGGATTTGGCGTGCAGATCGCCTGGCTCCATAAGCGGAAGTATAATTATTTTTATATGACAGGATCCTATGGCCCTCCGTGATCCCCTGCAGAGCGAATAAGGATCGTGGCTGGCGATTGATATCGAAATAAGATCAGTCCAGCCCTTGCCTGGTTCGATAGGATATCATTTCCTTCATATCCCGACCCACCTGTCATTGGGAAGTTGATATCATTATACCGCATATCCGGTTGATATATATCGTGTGCGTGTTTTTCTGGACTTCGGTCGCTCTTGAGATCCCCGGCATTAATTGGTCTGTGTTGATTTGATTTTTCGCTCTTCCCATCCAGTTTTCTCGCTCCACTCGAAGTCAAACCAAAGCTGCAAGGCTAGACCAAAGCAGCATGCACCCGACTCGTTTCCACCCAGCTGGTCGGATGAACTCTCCCCTGGGGCCAATTTTCCCTTCCCAGGCCGTTTGTTTGCTGCCGTCGACTGCACCGAGCTGAACCGGTCCACCCCCTTCACCCCCCATTGATCCACCCATCAAACAGGGGAGGTCGGACACGGAAATCAATTTGTCTCGTCCCCAGGCAATGCCATTCGGTGTCCAGTGCACGGTCGATATGTCCATCATTCTGACCTCACCCTCCCAAACGGACGTCATGGCGGTCTGCTGCCGGCAGGCTCATCGCATGGCGAGGCTTGGTCGGCGACAGAATTTGTTTTCGTTACCCTCTTTTTACATCTCCCCCTCTCTTGCTGATCTTAGCCGATCGTAGCGGGCATTTGCGCCAGGGATGCAACATTTACACTCTCTCCACTTGATAGGTGAACTAACCCGTCCACTAGTGGGCTCCCAGTAAGGTCACTTTGGGTCCAAATCTAGTCCCATGGCTGGTGAGCCTAGGAAGTAAATCGAACATTGGCGAGCGAATCATGCACCGTCTGTGCCCCCTGCCCTGACATCTCGGGACGCTTGCAGGGCAGATTGAACTAAAAAAGGACTGGGATGTTCCGTCAGACGTCCAAGGACCAAAAGGAGGGGAGACCTAAAACAGCACGCGGTGCGCCAGATGCCCTGAGCCCCGAATTCCAGGATTGTCCGGCTTCCTGGGCCTGCATTTCTGGACGTGTGCGACCCACCGTCCACTTTGAGAGCTAGGGCCATGAAGATCCACATGGCAGATTTGGCTGTCGTGAATTGAAAGAGGCCAGAGTTTCCAGTACGACCACATTACAAATTAGCCAGACAAGCCGAGTCGATCGATCGTATTCCGAACCACGATCAACCCTGTCAGGAAAGAGGCAGCCGGAGGCCAACGAAAAGGGCAGCGAGCCTAGTTCACCAGATAGAGTAGACGGCTGACATCCTTCCCGGCCATTTTCTCATTCAGGAATGACGACACCGGCCTAATGGGATCTGGAACTTTTGGGGGACGAATATCCTGATCTACCGGGTGCCCTTCCCCGACGGATTCTGGCCCCGGTTGGTTTGGCTCAGTCGCTAGCCTGACGCCAGTGTCGTTTCGTTTCCCGCGGCGCTGGGTTCTAAACTCTCTTCCCCGATTCCGTTGACGCATCGTACTTTTGCTTTCTGACAGGTCGTTCCCCCTTTCCCCAAAATTGGTGGTGTTTGGCCTGTAAAGCGCCCCCACAAGCCCTGTTTTATTTTCCGAAAAGCCAATTCGGCTGCCGAGCTGTTTCGGGCGTGAAGGATGGCTCTCAATCATGATCCTGTCAAGCGAAGCGTTCGCCAAAGTTGCCCGACCTCTCTAGGCCGTGGCTTTTTTCGAGGGGGATTTTTTAACACATATCTCTCGCTTTGATCCAGGCCAATTGAGGCCCTTCCCGATTCAGGATGAAATCGGTCTCTGCTCTATCACCATCGATCTTTGCACAGTGTCTGTCCGCTGGACTGCAAGAATTGATGTGTTGATAGAACCAGCCAATTCTGCTCGCCGATGATGCCTCCATGCTGGGTATCCAACCTTCCGGGCACACGCACACCGCTACAATGCTCGGTTGGGGCCATAGGAAGACGCAGATCTATTCGTCTACCGTGCAGCAGCAAACAGCTATTCGATAGTGCCGTCGTGTGACATCGCTATAACGTCAGCTCGCTGGATGGCGGACGACTGAGTCAAACCTTCCGTCACATTCTCCTGCGGGCTCCCAGCAAATGAGAAAGGATCCCATCGGTTCATTTCAGTCAATTCGCCGAACGCGCCGTTCGAGACTTGAAGTTGGACGTTTGTTCGATGCCGTCATGCAGCCGAGTGGACGACGATCCTAATCAAAGCCAAGGGAGATACAAAGGGAAAAGAAAAAGAAAAAAGATGAATGAAGCTGCTGAGATGAGCTGAAGAGCAAATGCCAATACAGTGAGAGTAGATGAGCGGTCAATGAAGTGTATTCAAAAAAATGTTTTATTCCAAGATCAAAAATTACAGAAAGCGCACAGACGGCGAGATATACGTAGAGAATGTCCAAGATATCATCCAGCATCACTTCCACCGGCTTACGCCAGTTCCAGTCGGGAGACATGAAACTCAAGAAAGTGGTACCTTCAGTCCTCGTCAAGGTAGCTGCCCATCTCCATTGCCAATAGGCAAAGAGTTATAGACAGCCAACCAAAGTAAAGATGTTTGATCTCCCAACGCTCCGTTAAGAACAGTCTTGTGAACCAAGTCCAGAGATAGAAATACCTCCTTTCTAACAAGTTGTCCCTGCAGTACCCAGAGTGGACTGCATCGCTGGTGTTTTCGAATGACAACTCATTCTCCATTGCTGGAAATGCGCTGTTCATCGAGGGATTCTTTCTAGGTATCCAGAAATTGTAATGAAAGAAGAACGGAAACCATTGGGGTTTACCCAATAGTCTTGCCATCGTAATTCCACATATTCTCCTGCCCACTTTACCTAATGGGGTATCTCTAAGTCCATGGTGAAGGGAGACAAGAGTAAAGAGTCATGAATACATTGCCACCCAAGTACGAATAGTGGCTTCCGTGTATGTTTCAAAAGCAAACAAACCAGCTGCCGCTTGGTGCAGAGAAACGAAGGAGAATCATCAAATTTTCTTCTGGTCGTAACTGTCTTGAGCCATCATCATTTGAATACCAGACGTGTGCTTCCGGAGCATGGGTGACTCAGGAGACACGGTGGCATAAAAAAAAAAAAAAAAAAAAGAAAAAGAGAAAGACCTCATAAATAATGTCGCGCATGTTATTCATTGAGGTGGAACAATGCCGAAACGCTTCAAATGTGGTTAGCGATTTCAATTCCGTGTCATGGGCGAGAATCAACACTCACCTTTCACCATAGTGATGACGTCGAATACTCTCCGCGACAAGACTCGAGATGTCGATGACAATCAACTTCTTCGACTTCTTGAGCATGTGAGGGGAGACCGGGAACGTGTTTGTCACAACAATGTGATCGATCGACTTGCATTGTTCCAGCTGTTCGAGAGACTCATTTCCGAAAAGGCCATGAGTCGCGATACAGTAAACCTTTTTGGCACCACCCTTCTTGACAACCGTCTCAGCGGCAGCAATCCAGGATCCGCTCTTGTCAATCATGTCATCAACGATGAACACCGTTCTGTCGCGAACATCTCCAACCAAGGTAATGGTCTTCTCCTGCTCGGCAGTCCGTGCCACGCTGCCTTCTTCGTCCGAGGATTCGGCGGCATCAAAGGAGCCACCGAGGGCATGATCGGCTGGCTGAGAGGATGTGGTTGAGATGAGAGATTCGGCCATCGGGTCAGCGATGGGTTCACCACCATCCTGGTTGGGATTCGGCCCCGGGGTGGTCTCGCCGGACACGGGAGCCGAGGACTCAGCCGAGGGGTAATCATCATCTACAAGCTGTCCCTGCACGAGTCTCCCGGTGATGACATCCCGCACTCGAACGTCAGTGTACTCACGCGCAGCCTCCAGCTCTGATGGGCGGCGGGCACCGGCCGACAAGTCGGGGATGAGAGAACCCGCCGAGTCAAGTACGACATCGGCATTCTGAGACTTTTCGGACTCAGAAGCTTCGTCGCTTCCGCTCTGAACACGCACCATGAACGGGTCTTGGTCTTTAGGGGCAGGGGTTTCCTCCTCCTCCTCAATAGAATCAAAAAAGACGGTGCTATCCGTCATGGTCACGGACAACTTCGGACGCCGTCTGTCGGTGGTGACGATGCCAAAGTTTAGTTTGAGTGTGTCCGCCAATGAAGTGACCCGCTTGGTACCTCCGGCATTCTTGCTGACGACGACGGCTTCCTTCCAGCCGGGGACGTTCATGCGGATCCATCGCGCAATGAAGGGCTCGGCGAAGAGATTATCTACGGGCTTGCCAAAGAAGCCCTGCATTTGAGATGCCTAAAACGGTTTGAATCTGATAAGAATCCCGCGTGATTCGTTGCAGCAAAACAAAGGAGTGCCTTCAAGACAGAGGTTGCCTGTTGGTACTCACATGCAAATCCAGAGTTATCACATGGTCCACCCCAGCAACTAAGAGCAAGTTCGCCAGCATCCGGGCAGTGATGGCACCACGGTGACTCTTCTTTTTGGATTGGCGGGAGTACGGGAAATACCTCGACGATGTCAGCATCAACAGCGTAACATTCAAACTAGACAGGTTTCATACGGCATAACCGCTATAGGCGAAGAATGAGGTCAGCCAAAATGGGATCAAGGAGTTGTGGAGTGGAATTCGTGTCTGGGAGACCGGGGAAGCACCTGTGATGGATTTGGCGGAACCACCCTTGCAAGCAGAGATCATGATCAGCAGCTCCATTACGCTGTCATTGATCTTCCCACTACCGCTCTGGACGATGTAGACATCTTGGTTCCGAACCGAAACACCAATGTTGACACTGGTTTCGCCATTGGCGAATTTCCCAAGGTTGGCCCGGGCAGGCTGGGTGCCTAGGCGTTCGCAGATGGTTTCAGCGAGCAAGGGATGGGATGTCCCCGAAAAAATCTGAACTCCCCGCATTTTACAAGACTCTTATCCGTTATGACAGGGCATAGACTGGGGGTTGAGTGAGCAGAGTCAACGTGGGGGAGCAAATCGTGGAACACATCTCATGTGGTTGAGAGGAAGAAAAAAGAAAAACAGAGGGAAAAAGTGGGTGGAGCTTTTAAAGGTGCGGGAAGGGGAAAACCGACGGGGAAAGAAAAAAAAAGAAAAACGTCAGCTCGTCTTGGGTCGCTGCCGTCCGCCCTACCGCCAGTCCGCCCCGCCAGCGCCGACTTTCACCCCGCCGTCACCTTCACTCACTCACTCACAGCATAAGATGGCGTCCAAATACCCTCCAGTCCAAGGAGGAGGCTCTCTCATCCTTGCTTGGCAGGTCAAACAGAAGAATGTCCTGGTAATAGGCGGTGGGGAGGTACGCTTTCCTTGACCTAACCAGCATGCTCCCTTTACTAATGCGATCTCAATCTATATCTACGCTTCTAGGTAGCTGCTGGTCGAATCCTACATGCTCTCAATGCCGATGCCAAAGTGACGGTCGTCTGTCCGTCATCCGGCCTCAACGATGAAGTGGCCTTTCGAATTTCCGAGGGCCAGGTCCTGCACATCGACCGAAACTTCGACCCTACAGATCTAGACAGCGCGGACATGGTACTGTGTGCCATTGACGACCCGGAAGCTTCCACCCAGGTTTGGAAACTCTGTAAAGAGAAGCGGATACCGGCCAACATCGCCGATGTGCCGCCGGAGTGCGATTTCTACTTTGGTAGCGTGCATCGCGACGGTCCATTGCAGGTGATGGTCAGCACGAACGGAAACGGTCCGAAGCTTGCCAGCATTGTGCGGAAGAAAATCGCCGAAACTCTTCCCGACAACATGGGTGCAGCGATCGATAACGTGGGCAAGTTGCGTAAGAAACTCAGGGAGGTTGCCCCTCAGACCGAGGAGGGTCCCAAAAGAATGAAATGGTACGTTGGATTGCTTCGTCTCTGGCAATTCTCCCTTGACGCTGACCAACCGATTCTTCAGGATGTCCGGAGTATGTGAGTCGTGGAGCCTAGATGACCTTGTCCGGATGAATGATCAAGATATGGATGGTCTCTTGACCCATTACAAGCCCGGCAAGATCCCATCGTTGGAAGAGATCCGATCTGGCTGATCGGGATCGCTAAGCTCTATTGCATTTTTGTTAATTCCAGTCGAGAATATGGCTCGATGATGTACGATTTATGAAGCGCTGCCACAAACTATTATACCCAACTAATGGGACGGTTAAAAATAGAAATATAAGCTCTTTTATGGTTTAGATGTGTACATACATGTGTAAGGCCCAGCTCAAATAGAGAAACTCAAAAGGGTTGTTTAGGAACAAGGATCAATAAGACAAAAACAGAAAGCATTGCTAAGTCTACAGGTATTCCATCCAGTGTGAGACAAGCCCGACAATCAAGGAGGCGAGGATATCCAAAAACGGTAACAAGGAAAGATAGAGAGGTAGGAGCTAAGGCTCAGGACATCCCCCAGTCAAAACTAACTACTGGGTTTGCGGGTGGATGACTGGGAAATGGACTTCCTCGGACTGATGGGCGTCGGCGCCACAGGAATACCCAACTTCGCCTCACCGATTCTCCGAAGAAGGGCCTGAAGTGCCACCCGGATTTCAGGGTTCAGGTCGCGACTTAGCAGCTCAACGCACAGTGGGTAGAAGGTCACAACATGCTTATCAAAGCCTTCATGTGGGAAGTTGGTGTAGCCGTCGAGAACATCAACAACAACGGGGCGCCAGGCTAATATGTTGCGATGTTGCGAATCTTCATCCAAGAGGACAAAGCTGCGAATAATGTCGGCACAGAGTCTAGAAGAGATTAGTATCTAATTGAAATTGGCACGGGATAAATAGCTGGGGAACTCACGGGATGAGGGCGGCTTCTGTTGCCGCTCGGCTGCTCTTCCTCTCTTCCCTCTCGTCGTGGTACATGCGGAAAAGAATATGTACGTAAGTCGCGGCACTCCCACTCTCCTGCTTCAGCAGATTCGGGGGCTGCTTCATGAAGCCTTGGCGCCAGAGTTGCATCCGGAGATCCTTGTCTTCATTGAACTTCTTAGCAAATTGGTAACTCTTTTTCAGCAGTCCCATCAACCGGAGAAGTTCATGACTCGGAATCTGTGCATAGACTTTATCGTTGGAAAACAATTCGTGTACGGTCTCAATCATGAGCAATTGAAGCACGCAGTTAGTTATGATTCGGTTGAAGAACCGACGTCGTGCGACGGTGACGGCGGCTGGCTGCTGTTGCACATCGGCTTGGGGCCGATAGTCCTCCAACTCGGCGTTGGACGCAGCAGGCATGTCACCCTCCTCATGCTCATGTTCCACATGCTGCAATCCGTTGGTCTTCGAAGAGTCGCCGAAATTCTCTGGGACTGATGCCGAGTCGGTCGATTCTGGCGCGCCATCCTCGGAGCCGTCCGTCTCACCATTGGCGGGTTTCTGTGAGTTCGGCGACTTCGTATAGATGGTCGCGGCGGCCGTGAACAGCTCATAGGCGGTAGTCTTGCTGAAAAGCTCAACGAAGGCACCCACAACCTTGGTCCAATGTTCTTGTCTGAACTTCAAGACATTCTGAAGTATCAGTTGCTGTAAACAGTTACTACCGATGCGGGCAATCGTGTCGTTTTCTTGGCAAATGCAAAGAGTTAGGAGCTCCAGAATGCGGTCGAGCATGTACTCCAGCGCGTCGAAATAATGCGTGAAAAGAGTAATCATATTCCTGAGCGCCTGGATCATCGTCGTCGAAAGCCACACCGAAAGTTCCTCGTGGTTCGGTACTTTAGACATTTCAGACTTCGACTGCAGCACAACGAAGATGGGGTAGAGAAGCTGCCGCCAAAGAACGTCCCAAAACTCTTGAGGGAAATCACCACCGTGTCGGATCAATGTATCGAAAAGATACGTCAATGCCCTGTCCAAGCATGTTAGCGCAAATATGCCAGATGGGTGTTTAAAACAGGATCTTACCGTGATCGAGCTTCAAGATCATCTCCGGTCATCAGGATATCTTGGAAGGCGATCAAAATGGGGTACCAAAATTGCTCCTCCTTGGACTGGCGGGTGAGCTGTTTCGCAAGGTTTGTAGAGTCAATGATGACCTCCTGGGCTTGGGCGCCACGGTGGGAGAGAGGGCATTCTGGTGCCCTGAGCATTTTCGTGACGGTAGACTTAAGGAGTTCAATCGCCTGTAGGGACTTCTTCTGGAACTTCATGTTCTTAGAAAACTCCGTGAGGCAAACGACCAGATCGGGGAAGGCGCCCTGTGTGATCACAACACCGAAACGAGTGTTGTAGACTTGAGTGACATGCTCAAAAGCCATGTTGACAATGCCCTCTGCAAGAATATTAGATATCAATTAGGAGCGAAATGGTTCACTGCAGACTTACCGTAGGGCTCCCGGGCAGCAACTGTGAACACGCCAAACATAGTTTTCCAACCGGATCGAATATTGTCACCCCGCGCCTGAATCATCTGTATGAGACATCGCAGAATCATATCCTTGACCGTCACGGCATTACTGTTGGCCATGACATGCTCGAACGGCTTAAGGAAGTCCTTTTGGAACTTGAATCCCGGCAGCTCCTCAATCTCCATGAAGCGCATGGAGAGTTGACGAAGCGAGTCCAACGCAAAGAAGACAACTGTTGTGTTTGAATGACACCCGACATGGTTGAAGTGTTGTCCGAGGACCTCCCAGATCTTTGACCATTCGATCCTGACTCGGGTCATGTTGTAGTAACTGATTTCGACCAGTTTCTGCAAACTGTACGTCCGAGGAGAGTCTGTCTGTCCTGAGGATTGAATTTCCTGCCAGCTCACGTCGCTCAACGCTCGGATAAAGTCGATGATGGCCTCGTGGGAGAGATTGGCAGTATTTGTGAAAATGCGATCTACGCCCCTGATCATTTCGGCGGATCGACTTTCCATAGCGACTTCTGCTCGAAAGGCTGCCGGACCATTTACCGATCGCGGACGGGGTCGTCTGGCCGATTGAATCGACCTGCGGGAGCCATCCGAAGAGGCCTGGGGCACAATGCGAGCTCGAGATACATCAGGCAAAGATCCTTCGTCAACGCCATTCGTCAGGAGCTGGAGTCGGTCAAGTTGACTGACACAGGTCAGGATCTCTCTCCAAGAGCTCTTCAACCGGTTCCCTTCCGACAAAGCGACGTCGAGCAAGACCTTCAATGCTTCCACGTTCTTGGCCACCATCTCTCTGATGTTGCCCAGATTTGTGAACTTGGCAAGCGCCGTCACGAATGCGACCCGAGGAGTCTCCAAGTCGAACGCACAGCTAATGCGAATAGCAAGCTTCATTCCCTCCATGCAGAGCTTGATGATTTCCAGGTATTGGGTGTCCTGCATGGGAGCAGAAAGACCGGAAAGGAAAGACATCCAAGTAACGTTGAACATTGAGCCGACATGTCGGACGGAAGTAGCGGGAATGAAACGTGACAGGGCCTCTTTGACAGCGGTTTTTCGTTGGGCCCGGATGAGGCTTCGGTAAAGTTGCTCGGTTTTGTTCGCCATTTCTTCGGACGCCTGTGCATACTTCTCGCCTTGGATGTCCCGTCCCACAGTTGCGAAGACCTGCCCGGCCCGAGAGGCCAAGCCAGCCGGTGTGGATGTGGGGATTCCGACGTCGGCAGCATGCTTTCTCTCGGTGTCAAGCACGATTTCATTCGTCTGAATCTCATCATAAATAGCTCCCAGGTAATCATTCGGCAGATCCTGATTATCATTGATGCCTCTGTTGTTCTTGATGAAGTCCTCCTTGGTCATGCGATTGCCCCTGATCTTGGAGCTGTGCTGATCGGTATTGAGCATGATAACAGAGTACGACAGGACGTAAGCGGTGTCGGCATTAGCAAAAGCATTTGGGTTCTGAGTTGTGTACCGCTCAGCAAACTTGAGCATGAATCGATCGATCTTCTGGGCCTCTCCCGGGAGTCGGAAGTGCTGGAGAAACTGACGGAGGGCATCCACAAAGCGTCGCTTCGCGAATTCCATCATGTCCACGAAGGCGTGCATAATGGCTATATTTTCAGCATCCCCCTCACCAAGATATTCGCCGAGCATGGCTTTATCCAACCGGTCGTTTCGGAAGAGGAAGCCCGCCATGTCTTCTGGGGAGTCGGACCGTACGAAGCCCTCTTGCACAAAGAGCTTGATACCACGCTTGGGTTTGAAGTTGAATTGCTGAACGGCGTTCGTGAGAGCAATCTTCCGCTGCTTAACCTTTTCTATCTGGCCAGGGTCATCTTCGGCCACTGGCGTTGACCGACCGGTGCTGCCATCACCATCAACCCTCGGTGAGGATAGGTAGGCGCCGACGTTTGTGTCGAGGGATTCCCTAGAGTTATCCATGGACTTTTGCGACGAATGATTCGGAACAGCGGCTGGCTGTTCCGAGGCCCAGTTGTCTAACGATTGCAGAATCTCCACCAAACACTCAACGGCTTGATTCTTCAGTATATACTCTGGAGGTACATTTTGCAGATTGGGCTGCTGGGCATTGGCAATATTGGCGGATGTGAGGGAAGGAGGCAGAGTCCCACGCTGATGCCATTCGCTCCCCAGCTTCGAGATCTTAACATAGTGCTCCTGGAAGGTCTGCTGCTGCAAGGCATTCACAGCAACTGGTACACTACAATACCGTGACAATTGCTCGATGATGCTATACAAAACAACACGTTAGACACTGTTATAATGGCAAAAGTGAATGGGTGGCTGCAAACATACTTCTGGAAAATATTTTCTAGCGCCGTCCTGTCACAATCGTAATTGAGGTATATCTCAACCAACGCCCGCGGGTCACCCGCTAGCCTTTCCAAGATCTCCATGAAATATTGCTTTTGGAAGGTGGGCGAGTTCCGCTTCTCGAGAATTGCGAGATAGATCTCCTTCAAGAAGACCTCAAGCTCTTTCTGTTTCGAGTCAGATACATCAGGGTGATAACATAAATCAGTGGCAACAAACCTTCATCATGACCCTCATGTGCTTGAGCATCAACCAAAATAGCTCGCAGCAAACTTCAAAAACTCTTGGCACAGAGCTAGATCCATTGCGACTGAGACTCAGACATAAATGGGGCCGGACAGCTTGAAGAAGCGTCATAGCGTCTGCGCTATTGGAGCTCTGTCGGATCGTCAAAAGCGGAGACGTAAATACAGCGACGTGGTTGTTAATGAGATAATGGATAAGATGAAGGGATAGTAGTTTCGACCGCATGTGCGGCGATTTCAAATCTTGCTGCTGGTCGTGGCTGAGAATCTTATGGCTCAATTTGCAGAGAGCCCTCAATACCAAGAACGAATCCTTGACGTAAACCTCGTCTTCATCATCATCCGCAGATCCATCGGTGTCTTCTCTGTCATCAAATCCCCCACTTGAAGACTTCGCATGCGTCTGGCCGACCTTCGCACGAGTGACCGTTGTTGGGGCATTATCGTTGACGGAGGTGACATCCTTGCTTGATTCGAAGCTTTGCAGTGTGAGTTTTTCCACGGGCTCTTTCAAGACAGGTTGATCGACAACTGTCGCGGAGGCTGCATCCGACACAGGATCTTCATCGTTCGTCTGGATCACATCAGGTTCGAGGGCAACGGTGTCCGAGGAAGCTCCCTGGCCCTTTTCACCCTCGCGCAGATGCAATTCCTTCAACTCCAGTCGCACACGCACTCTGTCGAACACCGTGCTCACCATCTGCGTCAAAGATCCCTGGGCAATTTGCTGGTTCTGACTAGACTTGGAGTATATAAAAATGTTGTATATCTGGCGAACGGCTTTCAGGAGACCCGCTCCATGCACCACAATTTTGTCATTCAACACTGCCGCGAGAAGGGATTTGATGATTTGCTGTTGGATCTCCACCGGCGTGGCTTCGTTTTCAAAGCAGTCGCAGATCGCATCGATGGCTCGTTCGATCAAAGGTGGCTGTTGTAGCTGCTGCTCCGAGGCCTCGGTTTGAATATCCTGCGCCGAAGGGAAGGCAAAGTAGGAATATGTGATCAATTTGCCAATGCAATCAAGCGCCGTCACTTGCAAGGGGATACTAAGGCTCTTTGTTGCGATGTATAGAGGGCGGAAAATAAGTTCGGGGTCGATGGGTTGACCGTCCAACTGTTTCACGTTCGCCAGCGCATTCTTCACGGCCTCTTCGAGTTCCTTGCTCTTGCGTGCTTCCCTCGATGCACCAATGGTGTCGAGCGCGGTCACTATGAAAACGGTGGAGCTGACGGGCACAGATCGCTGGGTCGCAAACGTGGCCGTTGTCGACCTTGAATCCGAGCGTACTCGGGCATCGGGAACGGGCTCATCCTGGGCGGGAACTGTATCATCGGCATTCTTATTCTCGCCAGGGGCGTCCCTCTCGGGGCTGGTCGTTGAATCCTCGGCCGGGCTCACTGTGTCTCTTTCTTTTTCTTTTTCCTCTTCTTCTTCCTCCTCCTTCCGGTCTAGCGAAGGCTGCGGTTCCTCCCCGGTCTCTGCGGATTCGACGGGGGCCTGCGGAGGAGAGGAATCGTTGTCGGGGGATTCTGTGCTGTCAGCAGGCACCAATTTGGCTTGCGATTCGGTATCCTCTGGAGTATGATCCGTATCAATCTCTAAGCGCTCCGACTCAATCGGCAGCGTGGGCTTGTTTTCATCATCCACCTCAGGGGACTCGGGGTGCGTGGAGACATCGACCCCGGTCTCTTTGGCGTCTGGCTGCGGTGTTTGGGCCGGCTCGTGGGGAGAGCCGTTCTCGACTTCCGCCATTTATGCGAGACTCCGTCCGGAGAATCCAGAAGTAAGTAGACGAGGGGTCCACATGGGACTAATTGAGGGTCTAGTGAAGCGGAAGGGATCGTAGAGAGAGGAGAGGGACAGCACGGGAGAGAAAGGCAGGCGACCAGCTATGCGGGCCCCATAAGCATGCGTGTCTTCTCCCGCGGGCGACGAGAAATCTACGGCCGCCGGCAGCGACCGGACGCGCAACGTTTGGATTACGTAAACGGGACTACGGCGGCAGCCGGCGAGTCTATTCCGATCGCTCACCGGGAAGCTCAACAGAAAAGTTCCTTAGAGCTGCAATCCTCAACTCTTTATGATACCAGGCCCCGTCCACCTGCCACCGTCATTCCATCCCCATCTCATCCTCTCTCCACTCTTGATTGAGCCGCGGGCCTTTTCCTCGTATCATAATCACAGCATTTAGGCACCATGGTTGCCTCTGCTGTCCGGATGCGCACCCCCAGCGCCATGTTCCTCTCCAAAGGCGCCTCCTGCCTGAAGAGGCCCCAGGCCATGCACAGATTCAAGGAGACTCTCCAGTATGGGCCACCATCGATGTCCTGATTCCTTCATCAATCCTGCGATGCTGATTTCGTTTTTCTCCATCTCGCAGACCTCAATTGCCTGCCTTCTCCGCCCTTTCCCGATACTATGCCTCGAAGTGTATGTTATCCCGTTTTTTCTTTTTTTCCGCACGGCTTATTTGCGTGCCATTTTCGCGCACCACCAACACCACCGCAACACCACCTAGAGAAGAAATCTGATCTAACATGTTGATTCCACAGCTTTCCCTCCCCACACTATCATCAGCATGCCCGCTCTGTCGCCGACGATGTTGGCCGGAAACATCGGCGCATGGCAGAAGAAGGCCGGTGACGGTCTGCAGCCCGGCGATGTCTTGGTCGAGATCGAGACCGATAAGGCACAGATGGACTTCGAGTTCCAGGAGGAGGGTGTTCTCGCCAAGGTCTTGAAGGAAACCGGTGAGAAGGAGGTTCCCGTTGGTGCGGTACGTGTTTTACCTCCCCGGAATTGGCCACTTGATCTTTAGCAGAGTTTTGCTGACCGGCGTTTTTTTCCATCTCTATGCAGCCCATCGCCGTTCTGGTTGAAGAGGGTGCCGATGTCTCGCCGTTCGAATCGTTCACCCTGCAAGATGCCGGTGGCGACAAGTCCGCCGCGCCCGCTCAGGAGAGCAAGGAAGAGTCCAAGGGCGATGCCGCCCCCACGCCCTCGACATCGGAGCCCGAGCCCGCTGCTCAGGAGCCCGAAACTTCGGGTGAGAGGCTCCAGCCCAGTCTGGACCGTGAGCCCGCCATCAGCCCTGCCGCCAAGGCGTTGGCTCTCGAGAAGGGTGTCTCTATCAAGGCCCTCAAGGGTACCGGCCGTGGTGGCCAGATCACCAAGGAGGATGTCGAGAAGTTCAAGCCCAGTGCTTCCGCCGCTGCCGGTCCCACTTATGAGGACATTCCTCTCACCGCCATGCGCAAGACCATTGCCAACCGCCTCCAGCAGTCCATGCGGGAGAACCCCCACTACTTCGTCTCGACCACCCTGTCGGTTAGCAAGCTTATGAAGCTCCGCCAGGCCCTGAACGCCTCCTCGGACGGCAAGTACAAGCTCTCGGTCAACGATTTCCTCGTCAAGGCCTGCGCCGCCGCTCTCCTGAAGGTCCCCGCTGTCAACTCCAGCTGGCACGAGGAGAACGGCCAGGTCGTCATCCGTCAGCACAAGACCGCAGACATCAGCGTTGCCGTGGCCACTCCCTCCGGACTTATCACCCCCGTCGTCAAGAACGTGCAGAACCTTGGCCTGTCCAACATCTCGAACCAGATCAAGGACCTCGGCAAGCGTGCTCGTGACAACAAGCTCAAGCCCGAGGAGTACCAGGGCGGTACCTTCACCATCAGCAACATGGGCATGAACGCCGCCGTTGAGCGGTTCACCGCCGTCATCAACCCCCCTCAGGCTGGTATCCTGGCCGTCGGTACCACCCGCAAGGTCGCCGTCCCCGTCGAGACCGAGGAGGGTACCTCCGTTGAGTGGGATGACCAGATCATCGTCACCGGTAGCTTCGACCACAAGGTTGTCGACGGTGCCGTCGGTGGTGAATGGATCAAGGAGCTGAAGAAGATCGTTGAGAACCCCTTGGATCTCCTTTTGTAAGCGCGCTTGCGGCTGATTTGGGATGCCATTCGGGGGTTCTTGGTTTTCTGGAAGATTTGTTTTAATATGTATTAAAAATCAGCTTAGTTTTTGCCCCTTTTTGGGTCATCATAGACCCTTTTTAAAGTACAGTTCATAAGGTCTCAATTCAATCTCCGATGTTTGTTCAATCTCTTTGGCGTAGATCTTGGTCTATCCATTCTATATCTGTAGTATATACGTTTGACTGTAAAGGAAACCCCAAAGTTAAGAATCCACATCCGAAGCTTAAAGGCCCAGGTGATGCCGGAGGTGCGTGGCTGCTGGCCGGGCTTGGCAGCGTCCGCACATGAGCCCACTCTATGACGTGATGTCATGCCTCCCATTCCCTGGCAGCTCCACGTATAAAGGCCGATGCCACCCATTCCCCAAACTCTCTTCTCTGTCTTGTTCCTGCACACGCTCCCGAGGTCAACCGAGTCTTCGAGTTGCCCTCCCTTCGGCTCCTGTTTCTCCTTGTAAGTCATGTTAGATGGTCGAGCCGACGGCTTCGCACCTTTGCGACTGGCTGGTCGTGTTTCAGGGATGGCGTGATCTCATGGTTTCTGAACAGACTCTCCCACATCCTCTCCCATCCTCAGTCGCACCTACAAACAACACTCTCAGTATGTCTTACGCCGACGCTGCTGCCCAGGGCCCGAAGCAGAGCCCAGCCGAAGTAAGTCCTATTCCTTATGCCCTCATCTTGGCACCAGGCCAAGTCTATTGATGGGATCGCATGCTGACTGATTCACCCCCAGGCGTGAGTGAACATATCCGATTACGTCTGATGATTTGGGAGATAGCTAACATTCCAATTCAGCCGCGCGCCCAACATTAACAAGGTCTACAATGATGGATCCGAAAGCACGGCATCTCTGGTGGACGTCGACTCCCCGCACGTCACCACGGTAGACTCTAGCTTCCTGGAGCAAGACATCAAGACGTCGACCCAGGCCGAGCGCATCGAGCGCGAAGAAGCGGAAGCGGAGAAGGAGAAGAAAGCTCGCGCCGAGCGCAAAGCCAAGGCTAAATCCTCCGGCGTCCGTAACAACAAGAGCAACCCCGTGTATCTGGCCAACGCCGTGCTCCTGAGTGCCATCGGCGCAGGACTTGGATTCGGCGCCTACCGGAAACACCTCGACGGTAAGCTGTCATGGCAGCTCGTCGGTCTGGCGTCCGGGGCTGTCGGAGCCTTCGGCGCAGTCGACTACTTCGTCAGCAAGTGAGTGCACGGTCGTCATCACATTGACTTGTAGGGTGAGCTTGGCTAATGAGGTATCTTTCCCATAGGTGGTTCCTCCAGAACAAGTACCCTCCCAAATAGACTCGATCTTCGCTTGGTTGGTGGATGATTTTGGTCTTTTGACTCTTTGACTTGTCACTATTACCCCGGGTTTGCGACTTTCGTTTTTGTTTCTTTTGTAGAGGCTGGAGTTTTAAACAGTGGTGGGAGGATCTTCATTTCTATGGTTTATGTCAATAATTCACAGTACTCATGGCTGGTTTAGTTGGGGTCATAGCATCTGTTTACTGGAATGGTCGTTAGCATTTCTAGTTAATACACTCTACATACTGGCAAACCCGCTCAACCGTCAGAATATATATTGCTCGATAAATGGAAACTGTAGAAAAGACCGACTCTATGTTTCTGACCGGCTTAACTATAACAGGAATTAATAAGGAGAAAGATCGCAAAGGACAAAATACATAAACATATAGTTCCAACTGATAGCAAGCTAATGTAAAAGAGCCCACAGAATCAGGATGCATGGACGTCGCTAGGCAACTCGAGGCCGACCGGCAGAAGATCGCCAAGGCGGTCAACGACGTCAGAATGGCAAGAACATGTGGCCTTGGCCCGCATACTTATTATTAGCATCGTCGTGCGAACACGTCGACGCCGCAGACACCGACTCGGAACTCGAAGCAGTCTTCTCTTCTCCGTGACTTTTGTCTCGCGGCCTTTTTAACTCTTCTGAGATCCGAAACCACCCTGTACCTATTATCTTTTCTGGCGACATTCCTGATTCTCCGCGATAAACATACGGGTTACTCATACAAAGAAAGAAATCACTTTGCGCTTGACGAAAATATGGTGCGTGCTCCCCTACGATATGCTGGCATATTTATAGCTCTCAGATCTCTAACAATAAGCTTCGATGGACAGAATTCCCTCTTTAATTCCGCCCTGAAGCAGTCTTCTGCTATCCGGCGCGATCTGGACACATTCTCGCAATCCCCTGCGACATCCTCTGCAGCCTTGCAGGGTACGTGGGTCCCATTGAATACACAGTGCAGGATGTGCCTTCTTTTGGCGCCTCTTGGGGGCTGGATACTGATCGCACAACCAATAGGCCAGATAGCGGCTTCTCTCGCCTCTCTATCGCGAACGATCGACGACTACTCGACCCTGTCCAAGAAGGAGCTTATCCCCGAGAAACAACAAAAGGCATTTGAGCGCACCAAGAAATTTCGATCCGAACTCGCCGACTACCGACTACATTTCGATCAACTACGAAAAGAGAGAGAGGATGCGGTGAGTCCAGCCTTTGGCTTGGATGATAGAGGACAAGATGGCTGACAGTCACGATTTTTTGATCGATAGCAATCCGTGACGAATCGCAACGAGCTTCTCGGTCGACGACCGCACAATACAGCCACCCCCGAGAACCCGTATGCCCAATCGTCACTCCCCAACCCGTCGCCATTCGCCCCGTCTTCTTCTCGCGCTGGTCTCAGCTTCGGTGCCTCGCCGGCAGACTATAATCGGGAGACGCATGCGCTTCGCGAACAGTCCTTCCTTGGTACTACAAACACGCAACTCGATGAGTTTATCGACCGGGGGCGAGCGGTCCTAGCGGATCTCGGCGACCAGCGAGAAGTGCTCAAGGGGACACAGCGTCGGTTGTATAGCGTAGCCAACACTCTGGGCGTCAGCGGGGAGACGATTCGAAAGGTCGAGCGCCGGGCGAAACAGGACAAGTGGATTTTCTGGGCAGGGGTGATCCTGTTCTTTCTCTTCTGCTGGGCCATTTTGCACTTTTTGCGGTGAACAGGAGAGTGAAAGTAGAGGGACAGGGAGGGAGATGTTTTTGTATGATGGAATTGTCTTATGTATCAACAGCGACTTGAGCCATCGTTCCTTTCTTTTTTTTTTATATTTTCTTTTTTTTTTTTTTTTTTAAACTTCCATTTGTTGCTCTGTTTGTGTGAAATAGTTCAATTGGCCAGCGCCGGTGTTTTGGGAGAGAAAATGAATATTATAATTGCTTCATGATGCCACTTCGGGTAAATTCTCTTACCCAGGAGCACTACGTACGGAGGACTAACTACGTAACTGAAGGAAAGGCCAAAGTGGCTGCCGTGTCAACCGTCGTGGGGATCGGAAAACGGAGCGATTTAGCCGCCCCAATTATTCTGGTTTCCTTCTCACCGGCAACCAACGGGCCCTTCGCTTCTTCCCTTCCGCCCTTCCCTTCCTCTTTCTTCTTCTCCCTCCCTCCATCCGTCGCATTTGTTTTCTTCCTCTCCTCCATCCTCCATCCATCCCCCCTCAATCCATTTGTAGATAGAATCTTTTCTGTCTCTCACACACTATCACAATGTTCGCTGCTCGCCAGTCCTTCAACCTCTTCCAGAAGCGCGGCTTCTCTGCTTCTGCCAGCCAGGTGTGTGATGAACCTTTTGTTCCTCGCCTTGAACCTCGGCGCTCGTCGCCAACGTGCTAACCTTCTTTTCCTCTTCGCTCCAGCTCTCCAAGGTTGCCGTCCTTGGTGCTGCCGGTGGCATTGGCCAGCCCCTCTCTCTCCTGCTCAAGCTCAACCCCCGTGTCTCTGAGCTCGCTCTCTACGACATCCGTGGCGGCCCTGGTGTGTTTCAGCTCCCAACTATCCGGCGCCGGTGATCGGAGCTTTGCTAACCTTCCCAACTCCAGGTGTCGCTGCTGATCTGAGCCACATCAACACCAACAGCACCGTCACCGGATACGACCCTACTGCCTCCGGTCTCCGTGATGCTCTTAAGGGCTCCGAGATCGTCCTCATCCCCGCTGGTGTTCCTCGCAAGCCCGGCATGACCCGTGACGGTATGAGTCCATTGCGCAATTTCTGACCCAAGTATCTTTTCAAGGTCCTCGCAAGCTGACCAACTTTCTTCAATTGAACAGACCTCTTCAACACCAACGCCTCCATCGTCCGTGACCTTGCTAAGGCCGCCGCTGAGGCTTCCCCCGAGGCTAACGTCCTCGTCATTGCCAACCCCGTACGCATCCTGTCCCTGTCATAATCCCCCCTCGCGCGCAACCGGCGATTAACCTTTTCTTCAATAGGTCAACTCCACCGTCCCCATCGTCTCTGAGGTCTACAAGGCCCGCGGTGTCTACAACCCCAAGCGTCTGTTCGGTGTCACCACCCTTGACGTTGTCCGTGCCTCTCGCTTCATCTCCCAGGTCCAGAAGACCGACCCCTCCGGCGAGACCGTCCCCGTCGTTGGTGGCCACTCCGGTGTGACCATTGTTCCCCTCCTCTCCCAGTCCGGCCACCCCAGCATTGAGGGTGAGGCCCGTGACGCTCTCGTCAACCGCATCCAGTTCGGTGGTGACGAGGTTGTCAAGGCCAAGGACGGTGCCGGTTCCGCCACCCTCTCCATGGCCATGGCCGGTGCTCGCTTCGCTGAGTCCCTCCTCCGTGCCGCCCAGGGCGAGAAGGGTGTCGTCGAGCCTACCTTCGTCGACTCTCCCCTCTTCAAGGACCAGGGTGTCGACTTCTTCGCCTCCAAGGTCGAGCTCGGCCCCAACGGTGCCGAGAAGATCCTGCCCGTCGGCCAGGTCAACGCCTACGAGGAGAAGCTCCTCGAGGCCGCCATCGCTGACCTCAAGAAAAACATCAAGAAGGGTGTTGACTTTGTTGCCGCCAACCCTTAAATCAATCTTCTTTCACATCACCGAGAAAGAAGACCTCCAGGGTAAATACAAAAATGGGTTAGATAGATCGATTCGTCTGCAGCCGCCTGTCCTCCTTGTATAACAGTCCCTTGTGTATCTTGTTTTATTTTACTACCCCATTTTATTTGAATTCTTATTACCATTACCCCCCCTTTATTCCCCCTACCCGCATCGACTTTTATAATTGGAGGATTGTGCAGCTGCAGTATGTGGAACCGCATTTTTCTTTTGTTTCTGGTTTCGTTGGGATTGAGTTAGGAATTTGTTTTCTTCATATGGCTCAATCTAATGGAATGGAATGGAACGGAACGTTGATGAGGGGAAAGGGAACATGATCGTGACGTATGTTTCCATATTATAAATGAAAAGAAATTTCTTTTTCTTTATTAGTTTGCACTTTCACTGCTTAGTTTCTCTGTATTCGTAGCAAGTAGTTAGTAGACTACAGCTAGTTAGGTGCATTGACCTGTTCGGCCGGACTGATCTGTGAGAATAAGATCATTGCAACCCAATTTCATATATCTTTTACTTTATTTGCATCAGTCATGGATTCAACCTCTAGATGTCTTACCAACTGACTGACTGACCAGACACGCATGAAGGGTTTTTAAGGACCTAGATAGAGTAAGGTAGACTCCGAGTGGCTCAATTTGGGATATCAATAGATCAATCGATACGGATCTTCGGAATCTTCGCTAGCTAGGCAGCCATCCATCCAACCAATTCAGTAAATCAATTAATTCATCAACTGAAGTGCGTCAAAATCGAAACAAGAAAATGCATATCTGTCTTCGCGAGAACTAACTAGAGAAACCAACGTAGGCGGAGAAGAAGAGGACAAAACAAAACAAACAAACCAGAGTATTGATGAAAAGATGCAACTAGTCAGCTGGCAGAGTAGAAAGAAGGACTAGGACGGAAAATGAAGAATATTAGATCTTTTGCATATCATGGCATAACACGGCATGGCATCGTGGAATCGTCAGTGAGCCTCGAACGCTAGGTCGTCAAGCAGTGATGAATGAGGCAGTCATTAATGAAAACAGTCAAAACTGTAAACGGAATTAAACGGAAGGAAAAAAGAAAGGGTATTCTTCATGCCTTGCACTCCACGCCCATGAATAAACCAAGCAAAAGAAAGAAATTCATAAGAAATAGAGCTTTGGGGGGAAGAGTGTCTACGTGTAACTTCTCATCGCGTCAATGTAGCCCATTCCGCCGCGAAGGTCATGATCAAATGTCTCGGCGACTTCGAGAACACGTTTGATATGTTCCATCGAGAGGGGAGTACCTTCATTGACAGCGAGGGCCTGCGCAGTGCGCACGGAGTTTTTGATCTGGCAATTTGTTAGTATATCTCGGCATGGAATTGGGGTGTACGCAGCAGAGAAAGGAGACTTACTTGTCGGCCGTTAAGATTGTGACGAGACAGCGCATCATAGTCCTTGTCGGTGAATTTGGCGGTCTCGACACCCTCCATGGCCTGCACTCGTTCCAGGAATAACATCCAGACACTGCGCTTGGCTTTGGTGGGGAGGTCGCCGTACCGCAGAGCAACGTGGATACGGGACTGAAAGGCGTCGTCGAAGGTCTCCACGCGGTTGGTCGTCAGGAAGAGGATACCCTGGAAGTACTCGAGTAGACGCAAGAAGATGCTGACCAGCGCGTTGCGGTGGATGTCCTGGATGGTGCGCTTCTCCAGGAAGATATCAGCCTCGTCCAGCAGCAGCACGGCGCCCCAGGAGTGAGCGATATCCAGGATCTTGTTCAGTTCGCCTTCCAGGGTGCGAGAATCGGTGCCCAGTTCACCGGCGCTGACCATGTAAAGCGGCCGCTTGAGCAGCTCGGCGATGCCCTCTGCGGTGAGGGTCTTTCCAGTGCCCGGGGGACCATGCAGCACGGCTACAAGGCCCTTGCCCTTGCCCTGGATCACGTCGTCGATATTCTGCGCTGCACAGAAGGTGTGCGATTCCACCAGGGCCTTGACGATGGATTTCTGGTTGTCCGGCAACACGAGCGAGTCGAAGGCATCCTCGTTCCAGTCGATGTCGCTGATCCCTGAGATGCTAAATTCGAGCCACAATTTCTCGCTGAAGGCGAACCCTAGGACCACGGGACTGGCAATGAGAAGCTCCTCTTCCGTGAACTCCCGGTCCATGTCCTCGACCTGGTCCATATCTTCCTTCAGAATCTCGTTGCCGTTCTCATCCAATTCCACCTCGACCACGTGCGGCGTGCCCTCCTTGTCGCGAATCACCTTGTAGCGCACCTGCGGGGCGTCAGAGTCTCTGCGGTGGGCGTAGGGCTCTTCTGAGTCCGAGTCTGACATCGGGCAGCAGCACGCTTCGCTGCCGTCATCGTCGTCGCCATCCAGATAGTCAGGATCCTTGGGGCGCACGGTGCTGATGGGGTAATTAGGGTTGATGCGGCGATGGATAGCCGGATCAATCATCACGCGCCCGTTGATATTGACTTTGATCACGGTGCGCTTCTTCTTATAGAAAGCCATGCCCTTGTGGTAGCGGTATTTCATGCCCCGAAGAGCCACAAACTTCTTGCCGCGCTCGATCAGTTTGGCCTGGACGTCTTCGGCTTCGCGGTGGTATTTCAGAGGGTAACAGCCAAGACTGGTAATCTTTCGGGCGCCCTTGAAGCTCTCTACATCGGCCGCCATGGTGCCCATGCCAAAGGTCTTGCCATCGTACTCCAGGTAGCGCCCCTCGACGCTGTACCATTGACCTTTCATGAACGACGACTCCTTGGAGGCATATTCAATCTTGAACGCGCGCGGCTCGTCCTGGTTGCCATAGGTAGGAGTGTAGGCAATGGTGTTCGGTTTGAACAAGGCCCAGAGCAGCTCAAAGGTGATCATATTGGCCTCCAGCAAGGGGTAAAGGGTCTTTTTGGTCTCCGCATAGTCCGTGTCCAGATATTTCAGCAAGACCTTGAGATGCTGCGCCTTGAGACTGGCTGCGTTTCTGGCCTTCTTCTTCCTCTCCGTCGTGGCCTGCTGCCTCAGCTCCCTCATGTACTGGCGGGTCTCTTCCAGGTAGAGGAAGAGCATGTTCGGATCGACAACCGCAGTCTCCTGAACCAGGCTGACTCCTTTGACGCCGTCCATGACCTTTGCCAGCGCATCACGGAGGTGTTTACTCTTGATATCTACCACCGTCTCGAGGTATTTGTTATCCCAGTCAAATTTGCGGCGCACTGTAAACAGATACTGGTCCCACTCGTTGGCCCCCGGGTCATCGATGGTCTCGGTCAGCTTGAAGTTGTGTATTGTATTGTCCCATACTGCGGCAGAGCCAGACACAGTCAGTTATCATGCTTTGAAGAGAGTATCGGGGAGGGAAATGCAAACATTGATCAACCCTTTTGAAAGCGATCTTCGAGGCCGCCTTCTTCCGACCCTTGGACCGATGGGAGCCCTTCTGGCCGTCGTTCAGACCGTCAGACACTCGTCTTGAGCGGTGCTTGCCCCGGCGCCTACCGCCCTGCTTGAGTCGCAGAGCTGCCAGCTTCTCCTTGGCCAGGGAAAGCGCCGTGTCGTCCAGATCGGTCTCATCCTCATCCTCTTCTTCGAGCGGATCCTCGGAAGACTCGTCTTGGCGCACCTTCTTAGCCTTGCGGGCCTTGAGCTTCGAGACCAGCTTCTTCAGCGTCTTCTCATCCAGCGACGAGGGATCTTCATCATCCTCATCCTCTTCCTCGAAATCCGATTCGTCCTGATAATGCGACCGCGTCTTCTTCTTCCGGCCGCCCTTTAGCGCCCGCCTCGATCGATTCTTTATCCGCCTCCGTCTGTGCTTCCGATCTGGCTCCGACTCGGATTCTGCGGACAGAGACTCCTCGTCCTCATCCTCGGAATCACTATCACTCTCAGCGTCGTCATCGTCGGAGCTGGACTCCGACGAGCTATCGTCACTGGGAGTGACAATGGATGAGGCTTTATTGGATTTGTGGGATTTTTTCTTGGAATCTCGAGCACGGTCTGAGTCCTTGGCGGGATGTTTCTTGCAAGAGGTTTTCTTGGGAGCAGTTTCAGAGACGGAAACCGCCGACTTGCCCTCCGGTTTGACTGTGTTGTTATCGACGGGGGGATCGGCTTCGTGTTTGGTCTCGGCAGCGACGGCGGTGGCGGTAGGATCGGCCATTTTTTTTTTTTCCTAATTTTTTTTTATCTTGAACCAATACAATATACGTCTAGTAATGCTCAGATGCTGGTATACTCCGGGAACAATGATTGGAGTAATAATTGGGGCCCGCAGTGGAGCTGTCAGGAACGGACCGGGGGGAAGAAGAGGAGCCTGTGGGTAGCGCCGTTATGATCTCATGAGCGGAAGTTAAAAGCGGACCGACGTAGTTGGAACAGAGGAAGGCACTGATAGGAAGGGAAGAGAGGATAAGGAGGGAAAGTCAGGGGGAAAGAGAGAGGAAGGAAGGCAGAGAGGGAGAAGGAGAGGAGGAGAGGAAGAGCAGGAAGCGAGCGAGGAGGAGCAGGTGAAATAAGAGCGTCTGACAGTAGGCGCCTTACTTTTGAGCGTCGTAAGGATTGGCTGACCGGCGTCTGGCGGTGAGAAATGAGGCGTTCTGAAGCTGCGCGACGAGCTGCCTTTGCAATTCTGCGCTCGGCGTCGATCCCTCCCCCGGCTTTAAATCTTTCATCGATCTTGGATTGTCGGACGCTGCCTGGAGCGGCGCTTGGGTCGTGGATCTTAGGCATCGATCGTATCGTCAGCCTGGTAGGTCTACCTACTAGGTAGGCAGACGCACGTCCATCGGACATAAGGCACAAAGACGATCCAAAGCATGCGCATCTTCCAATCGGGCTGCAATCGTCTTATTTGGCATCTTGGCTTGGGCTGTCACCAAAGTCATCACGGCAGGCTGGTGCCCGGAATGTCTCATGTGGCGTGCCAGGTTTCATTTTCATGCCCATTGAGTAACCTCTGCTCCCTCATAGCCAGGTCAGCAAGGTTGATTCAGCTGACGTTGTGCTGCCTACCCACGTTCTGTCACCATCCATCATGTACAGTCGGTAGAGTCCATCTAGCCATGCCCTACAGACTATGCACGGAATTCAGCATTAGCGCTTCTCTATAGCCCCATCTCAGATCTCTCATACCTTTACAGCCCTCTATTCCCTTTCTCTTTCTAGCCCCCTAAGCACCAAATCATCAGTCAGCCGTATGGTGAGCGCGCCAACTTCACCAGTTTCAGTGAACCCAACATAACTGGAACCTTCAACCCTCACCCCGTGCCGAAAAATATGATGACTTATTTACAATCCACATCGCTATACCTGAAGACACACACACATACATTCATGTCCAGTGGGCGTGAGGGCTACATGTACACAACTCTTGCGTCTTTGGTATCTGATCAGGCAGGGACAGAACACCACGGAATAAAATAGAACAGTCTGTATATTCCTAGTATATCTCTTTTTTGTAAGAAGTGCTAGTCGTAATATTCCAGCACCTGGATGTATGCATACATAAATAGTTACACCTAGCCTCCTTTCTAGTTTATCGAAGAACTTTTGTTTCACCTGGATGACATAAAATCCAATAGGATCTTAGCACATAGCTCATACCAGCTACCAAGATCCCCTTTCGGTCCAATAGAACAGCCAAAAGTCTCAGTACAACCAACGCCTAATCTTTAACCTTCCCAGCTTCAATTTGTTTGAACCAACTAAGGCAGACTATTAGACAGGTGGAATGAAATAGAAAAGACCAAAATAAAAAGTGACAGGGACAGGTCACTCCGCGCATTGATTTCGTTGAGCCCCGTAAAACAAGTAAGAAAATAGGAAAGAATAAGAAAAGACTGCCTCTACAATTATTCTTGCCATGAAGACCTCACTAGGATGTATCTGACTAAACCGGTTGGTGGATTAATATTACCGTTCCTTTTCTTTTCAAGGTATGTCTGCACTATATAACTCTTCGCTAAGAAGGGTTGACCCTTTTTAGTGCAGCGATAAAACTGCGATAGTATGATAGGGTAGAGCAGAGCCTGACCCAGCAGGCAGGGAAAGAGTTAGATAGGCAAGCTCATTCACGCTCTCACGATAGAGAGGAAAGTGCGGGCAACAGTTCTTACTAGTGCCAGCATGGGCAGGGGGAGCAGCTACTAAGCACCAGCTAGCCATCCATGGATATACTCTAGTGCGAGCACCACCTTCAGCAGCTCCAGTGAATGCAGGAGAACTGGAATCCTCCACTTCAACTCCCGTCTCAAACGAGACGCAATGCTCCTGGACATGAACTTCACTCGCAGTCTCTCTGCACTCTCTCCACCTCTTCTTCCCCTCACTCGCAGTTCTCATTCTCACGTTTCCACTGAGAGATGAGCACAACCTTCTTCCCACCTGCTACTCACATCGACTGCACTTCCTGCTTCACGCCTGTGAATAAGATTCTCCCGAGTGTGCAACTTGCTTTTGCTTCTGAGGTCCTCAAAATGGCGCCAGAACCCATGGATCTATCAACTCCCATGAAGGAGGAGAACGAGGCTGGTGACGTATGCAATCTTCTTTACTCCCTACCTGATACGGGTGCATAGATCCTCTCAAGCCCAGAGCTAACTAACCCCCCCCCTAGATCCAGACCCCAACTCCCACTCCTACCCCGCGCAAGCGCGGTCGTCCAGCAAAGGCCACGACCAGCGCTGTCAGAACCCCAAACTTCCCAACTAAGGGTACTACTCCCAAGGACACTGCCACCGAAGGTGATGGTGAAGGTGATACCAACAACGAAGTGTCCCCAAGCAAGAAAAACAAAGTCAAGACCAATGCCAAGAAGGCCATGGGTCCCATTCCGACCTCCTACGAGGCGATTGGCGAATCTGACCGGTTGATCCTGCGCATGAGAGACGAGGAGGGTTGCGCGTGGCCGGATATCACTGCCGCGTGGATGGCCATAACTGGCATCACGGTGGGAAAAACGACCCTGAGAATGAGATACTGCACAATGAAGAATAACTTCGTCTCGGTGGATACTGAGGATGAGCCCCGTCTCCTGAAGGCCAAAACCGAAGTCGAAGAGCGTTTCGAAGTCGAGAAATGGGCCAAAATCGCCGACCAAATCGTCTCCGACGGCGGCAAGAAATACCCTCCCGCAACCCTGCAGAAGAAGTTTAAGGCGATGACGAGCGTGGCCAAGGCTGGTGCTGCTGCTGCTTCCCCTGCCCGTGGATCCCTTTTTAATAAACCTACCTTGGCTGGCGCTGGTAAGGCCAACGTTAATATCGGTGTCGAGGATGAGGAAGCATGAGAGCGTGCTGCGTGGAATGACCTGTCCCTGTCTCTCTGTATTGTTGTTTTCTGTTATCATTCCAAGGAAGACGACTGGTCATGGTCTGCTTTAGTTGATTCAAACAAACTGGCGCTGGATTTACTGGTATTTTTGGCTGTTGTATCTGACAAAGGGACTAGGTAGTTTGAGATGTGTGCTAAGATCATACCGAATATTATGGCATCCACGCGAAACAGAAACTCTTCGATGGGAATTCTTCGATGGTTTGACTAAGATGGAAGGAGGAATGGTGAATTCCATCTGTCGCATTGCCAGCGCCGCAGTAATGGAACAATAACTTCGGGGCATCTGATGAAATGGATCTGATAGCAACGCCCGATTACTCGAATTTCTTATTTGACGACCTCATGTCGTCGCCCATGTTCAACCGTCAAATACCAATGAACTGCAACGGTGTACAGTACATGTAGATTGTAAACAAGTCGGTCCTTCGCGGCAGCGGAGTGCTGGTGGCAGCCAGAGGCAGCTGCTACATACTACCTTTAAGGTATCTGGCGGATAATCATGACTGAACGGATAGCGAGCCTCTCGCACAGATATAGTAATAGGGGTCGGGGTTTGAGGACGAGGCACCTCGATAGGCCGGACAAGGACCTTAAAGATATACTGACTATTGCCAATATATTAGTACATGATGTGGGCGCCTAGGCCGTATCCCCTCTCATACAAAAAGGATGCATGGCGGCCAGGCCCCCGAAACGCTTTGAAGGAGAAGTGGGCAGACAAAGCTTCGATCCCGTCTATATGGTGCCTGGTGGCGATTGACACCTCCGTGAGCGGTCCTTATATAGATTCTTGCACTATCGATTTAGTTAAGGACCCTACCGAAATCAAAATCAGTATACGCTGAAAGCTGTAAATAATAAGTCATCACGTTGATTTCAATGCTTCTAACCTCGTTAAGTGATAAATAACGGTCATATAGCCTTCGTACCTATGTACCATCCATACCCTACCTCATTGACTCAAATTTAAATGAAGAATGAGAAACAAAGACAGAAAAGAAAAGACAACCGTCCACGCCGCAGAGGTATCTAGTTACGCCCCCAGATGAAAAAGAAAAGAAAAAACGAAAAACAAGAACAGGAACAAGAATAAGTGATGAGACCAAAAAATGCTATGCTTCACTCTCACAAAACACTCATCTCCCTCCTTCCATCCGAATCCCCCGTGCCCCTCGAAGACATGTCACTATTAGACCGGGGCACCATGGCAGGCCGGATCTTAGCGCCCACGAAACCACGCCGATCGCGTCCCGTGCGGCCGCGACCTAGCCAGTTATGCTTCAGCGCCTTGCTGAGGACCTCGACTTTCTCCTGGGCGTGGTCACCGGTCTGCACGCTGCTGAGGACGCTGACGCACTGGAGCATGCGGCCGACGGTCTCGGTGATGACCTGCGAGGTGTCGGCGCCGCGGTGGATGATGGTGGGTCGCTGGGTCGGGGAGGAGAAGGATTGGAAGATGAGCTGGTCGGGGTTGGACGAGGTGTTGGAGGCGGCGCGACTGCGGTTGCAGCTCATCGAGTCGGATGAGTAGCTGCCAGCCGTCGCGGCCGCGTTGAGATGCGAGGATTGTGAGCTGTAGCTGCCACCGAACCCAGCGTCGAGGGAGGCGGACGTGGCCGGCCGGCCGCTGTTGGCGCTGCTCTTGGTGGTGACGCTGAGGGCGGCGTTGCCGAGGTTGATGTTGTCCAGGCTCAGACGCGAGAAGGTCGCCTTGAGGCCGTCGTAGCGGAAGAGGACAACCATGTCGCGGAATGCGATCAGAACCAGGTTGCGCACTTCCAGCTCACAGCCGGGATAGTCCCCGTTCATGGCACCGGCCCAGAACTCGCTGGCTTCGCGCGGGTTCATCACGGTCCCGTGGCCCTTGAATTCGAGGTCTAGCGGGAGGAAAACTGCCTGGATGAACGGAAGGATTGTGCCGAACACTAGCATCCAGATCTGCACCAGATGAGGAACCATTTTCTCGTCGGGGACTCCGTTCAGCGTGTGGTTCAGAGAAGCGAACCCCGTTTCCAGCAACTCTCGAAGGTCGTCGACTATCGCCATGGGTGTACGCTTCTGTACGCACCGCTGGATATGTATCATCACCAGCTTGTTCAGGTCCTCAATGGCGATGCGCACGTCCTCCCCGTCAAAGATCACCAAAAGCTTCGCCTTCAGGAAGTCCCACGCATCTTCGGGCGACATGTTATTCAACCCAAATCCCTGCAGGGTCTCCCGCAAGGCAGCCTCTGCGAGCATCCCCGTCGTCGAGCTTCCCAGAGACGAAGGCCCGACAAACGTGGTCTGCGTAGTGCCCGAGGCTGTCGAATTGGCCAGCCATTCCTGTTGCTCCGACTCCGCCATGGCCTTCTCTTCCTTCTTCTTCTCCCGAAGCGCTCGGCCGCCGTGTAGCAGATCCAACCCGCTGACAGACTTGCCAAATGTCGTCGTCGCCGCATTGGGGGAAATCGGAGTGAACGAATACAGCGACTGGGGGGCATTCGGATCCGACGGTTTGGAGTTACTCGACGCGGACGAGAGCGGCAGATTTTTATGATCATCGCCGCGATCCTTCAGTTTCAACTTCTGCCGCGACAGGAAGTGATGCTTATGTTTGTCTTTCTCCTTCTCCTTGTCTTTATCCTTGTCCTTCTCGCCGCCCGTTGCTTTATCCGCCGGCACCACCGTGCTCGCCGACGCGTTGGACAGATTATACATGGACGAGTTGTTCGACGGGAACGTCTCCACCAGGCTGGTCGTCGAGGCACTGACGATGCGAGAGAGTCCGCTGGCGCTGGGGAGCCCCATTTTGCTAGGCGACGGGAGGCCTCGGTCTTTCATGAACCCGTCCTTGTCTCGGCTGCTGATGCCGATGTGTTTCGGCTTCGAGAACAGCTTCTTCTTGGACTTCTCCTTCTCGCCCTTGTGCTTGTGCTCCTTGTCGGTTGGTTCCAATCCGGGCGGTTGCAGGGTAGGTTGTCGTGGGAATACCAGATTAGCCGCCGTCGTCGCCACGTGCTGATGTCCTCCCGGTTGCTGTTGCTGCTGCGGTGATTGCTGCGGTGACTGTGGGTGATGTTGCGACTGGGGATGCGGCTGTTGTGGCGGCGGTCCGTTCTGATACGAGTGTCCGGACAACCCACCGGACCCAGGGGGCGCCAGCGATTGCGAGAGAGGCACAGGAGCCGGGGGAGGCGACAGGCTCGCTGTTCTTCGATGCCTCATGGAGGGGTCATCAGTATGGGGAAAGACTACATGCGGCGGGCGTTTCGGAGGATGTTGTTGTTGTTGGGCAGCGGCCATATGTTGCTGCGACATGGCAGCCTGAGCAGCGATCCTGGACGCGGACAGGGTAGATTCGTGGGTGGATGCGGTTGGGAGGGAGGGTTCAAAGAAGCCCTGGGAGTGATGGCGGGAGCGATGACGCGGGAGTTCTGGCGGGAGAGCCCGACTGGAGGACTTCCTGCTGGTCGGTTCATTCTGCGGCATGAAGGAGGAGGCTGAGGGACGAGCGAGGTTGGTGGTGCTGGCGCTGGCGCTATTGGGGATCGACGAGGTGCGAGGGGGCCGGGGAGACGAGGCTCCGGAAGGATGATGCAGAGTCAGAGGCGCAGGGATAGCGGAGACGGTCACACTGGAGGTGATGGACGAGGCATCACTGCCAGAGGAGCCGGGACGAACCAATTCGTCATCGAAGGATTGACGAGGAGGAGGGAGAGAAGGAGGAGCGGGCGATCTGGAGACTCGCTCCGGGGAGACGGGCGAGCGTAACATTCTCGATCAGGGAAAGCCGTGGCCCATGATACCCCGACGCAGAAGAAAATAAAGAATTGAAGTTAAGATGAAACTTGACAGGGGGAGAGTCTCGGTGTCGGTCTGGACTTCCGACCGAATCGAGTGCAACAAAGTCGCCGTGTCGATCTCTGGGAATCTTCCCGATCGCCCCCCGCCTTCTTGTCCCTCTTTTTCGGTCCCTCTCCTCTCTCTTCTTAGCACCTCTTCGTCTCTCCCCTCCCCCCACTAAATGCATCAATCACCTCGGAAGAAACAAAAAATCATTTCTCCCACTGACCCGGATTCCACCATCACCATGGCCTCCTCCTCCTCCTCTTCCCCCCTGCGCGCCGTCTACACCGCCCCTCAATCGACGCACACATTCGAGCATCGCCTCGCGTCGTCTCCCTCGCAGGACGTGCAAGCCAAAGTGACTTATCTCTCCGAGCTGCGCAAGCTCGTGCCGACCCTCCAGAACGACATCAACGTCTTCCTGACCGAGCGCATGGAAGAGGACAAGAAACTGGCGGAGGCGCAGGGCCAGAAAATTTCGGCCAAGGAAGCTAAAGAGGAAGAGAACTACGGAGAAGAGGTGGTTGAAGAGGATGAATGAATGCATGCATGCATGAATGATTCATCATGATACAACGATCGGAACTAAAGTAGTAGGGAGAAGGAAAAGAAATTATATATTGGATCCTTGGATATCATCGCTATCCTGGGTATCAATGCTGAATACACCCGCCACTCCACGCAACGCAATTGGGGTTGTTTGGACACGAGAAAGAAGACCGCAAGACCGAATGAACAGAAAAAAAAGACAAGAAAAAAAATTGCAAGAAAAATGAAATCAACATCAAACATCAATATCAAGCCATCGATACCATACACGCATACCCGATTCTATTTGCAAAAAAATTCCACTTTATCAATGGGAAGAGAGACGATTGGCACACCCAAGATGAACCACCGTATTACTTCAAGAACAGTCAGCAGTCGCCATTGGATATCGGGAAAGAAGGATACATACTCTGGAAACACGTTGATCACGCTGCCTCCGATTCGTTTATGACACATCCCACAGATCCTTTCCTCCGTGATGGTGACGTGCCGGGATCGCGCAGATTTGCCGTCCGTCCCCTCCCCAACCAAGAGTTGGGCCTGGGTCTTGATATTTTGCGACTTCTGCAGGCTGGCCACAATTCGCGACTCGCTGAGCATCGAATTGGCCGCGCGCATGCGACCGCGGAAATAGAATTCCAGATCTTTGACCGGGAGAGTCTCGGGGATCAGCTCTAACGCGGAACCGGGAGGAAGACGGGATCCGTGCTTGGCCAGCAAGTCCAGCGCTGGTCCGTACTGGGGTTGGTACCCGTGTGGAGGCGAGAGGTATAGAGATAATAATGTTATATAGATAGATTGTTTCACCTCCGAGTCGGGAAGAGCTGCTCCGCGGAGAGGCTTGGCCTCCGTGGCGGTCGTTTCTTCCGATTTATGCAGATGGTTACAGTATCTGTAGACGAAATTAACATTCAACCTCCTTCCTTGTGGTCATCATACATACTCTTCTGCTTTACCATAATTCTCCAGCTTGAAGACGTAGATCTCCAAGGCCTGCCGGTGCTGTCCCATCTTGCTAAAGACAATGGCTCTTGCTTCGAAGAACTCGGAATCTACAGCGGCGTGTTAGAATACTTTCAGTGAGAAACACCAAGCCACACAAGGTGATACGTACCATCGCGATCCAGCCGGTCGAGGATCTTGGCTGGGGAATACTGTGAGCTGGATTTCAACATCTCCAGGAATTGATTCAGCCACTCCGCCCGATCATTCTCATTCGGAAACGGCCATTCCTCGGTCTTATCTTTCTGCAACCGCTCCAGGTACAGCACAAGAAGCCGTTGATGTAAATCAGGTGTCATATCGTTCAACTCCCCGATGACATGTTCGAGGTACCGAACGGCAAGATTGGTGTCGATGCTCTGCAAGAACTCTAGGACCTGATGCCGGGGCAGGGTTTCCGCATTTTCAGTGTCCGCGAGGAAAATCTCCATGCCTAGGTCGGGGTCCTCTCGCAGGGGCCATTCGGCAAATTCCAGAATGAGCTCGATCTGGTCCGGGGCCAAGTTCTGTAGATAGCCCACGGTTCTCTTAGGACCGTGGAGCTCCGGTGCCGTCTCTTCCTCTGAGTCGGCCTGGCCGAACTTCTTCAGCAGCTCGAGAGCCTGCCGGTGCATCTTTTTACCGTACAGGAAGTCAATCAGATCGTTGTGACGCCCAGTTTCCTCCAACTTTTCCATGACCACTTCGGGGTCGCAGAAGTTGGAGATGCGGAAGAGGGAGCCGGCAAGACGGGGGTTGGCAAACATGTACGCCCGGAAAAGGGTCGTGTCGACCAGCTTCGCCTTTTCCCGCAGCTGGTCGCCAAAGTCGTGGTCTTTATTGTCCCTGGTGATCTCGAGTAGTTTCATAACGGACTCGGTGAATTCATCCACTGCTCCGTCCGCTGTGGGATCGACCACCTTCAACGTCCCGTCAGGGTTGAGGAACCGCTGGAACCGCCGGCGAACATCTGCCAAGTATCTCTGAAGCTCGCGCACTGAGGACTCAAGCTGCTTATCCTTGGCTGATTTTGTTGCTCGAGGATCCTCTAAGGATTTGCCGCGGATACTTCCCGCGTCACTCCCATCGTCTGTCTTTGTGCGAAGGAAAGATCGCATGGAAGGGGTGTGTGTCAAGGTCTTCGAAGCGGCCAGCTCCTCCGAGATAGCGCCATCCGTCTGAGGTTGGCCGTCAGGTTTCGACTGGCTGTCCGTCGTGCCATCTTCTGACTCCTCCGGCTCCTCGTTTACCGAGCTGAGATCACCGGCGATAATTCTAGGGTAGAGTTGAATCACGGTCTCTGGAGGAGCCGAAATCTCTGTAAACAACTCCATGGAGTCGCTATATTTGTGAACGCTGAAAAGCCCTTGGGCCTTGTCGAGCTTGATCTCCCGAAGCCGACCCTCCTTATTTCTGAGAAGCGCATCTTCTAGCATGTTGGCTAGACTGATTGCCTCATCCAAATACCCCTTCTCCACGAGCGAGTCGATCTGCGTATCGTAGCTCAGAGCTTCCATCCTCCAGATGGTCCGGTCACTTCCAACCAGAAACCCCTTCCCGGCGTGCGCCAAGCTGATCGTAGGCTGCGAGATGTGCAAGAGGGTCGCCGACGGCAGCGGAATGGACTGGAGCAGAGACAGCGTCTCAGGGTTCCTGACCTCCAAGACACCCTTGGAAGAATCATGCAGCGCCAGGAGGAAGGGATATGAGTATCCGATATTCGCGGGCGCATGGCTCCACGGCACCTGTCTCCGCCCGAGGGAGTTGCCATTGATATCGATAAACTGGGTGTTGATATCCTTCGCCAACAGCACCTGGCCCTCGCTGAGTCGAGTCGCCAGCGGTTTTGGCGCCGCTCCTCCAATGCCAATGTAGCTCATACTCGCCACGCCGACCCCAGCCAGACGCCCGGTCTCCTGACCCCCAAGACCCCCAATGCTTCCGGGTCCCACCAAGTCCGTGACGGACGAATTCTCAATATCAACCATCACAAAGCTCGAGCTGAGTCCCGCCACGACTTTTGTCCCGGACACCCACGTCAGGCTCTTAATGCCGCTGACCAGTGTCATCTCTGCCGTCTCGCCCTCCAGCTCCATATCCCGCCACGTCCATAGCAATATCTTCCGCTTCGCCGCCACCGCCAACCGCGACACGATCGAAGGAACGCCCGTCTCGGGGTCATTGAAGATATTCGACGTCACGGCAAAGGTACTGGCGCCTTTCGTCTTGGTCAGTTGCTGCTGCAGCTCGTAGCTCTGCAAATCATGAATGGAAACATATCCCCCGGACAGGGAAACCAGCACCTTCGCCTCCTTAATCAGCGCCAGCTGCTCAACCTTGTATCGCGAGAATTTCTCCAATTCCCGCAGCAGATCCGTCTGCTTCAGCTTCGCATTAGAAGCCGCAACGTTGGCGCTGGAGGTCCCTCCTCCAACAACCGAGCTCACCCCCTTATCATCTCCATTCTTAAGTATCCCTCCACCAGCTGCTCCTCCGGGGACATTCCCATTGCGACCATCCCCGTCCCCGTAGCTATCAACGAGCTCCCCATCCCCAGCCCGCGGCTCATCCTCCGTAATCTCATTGACGCGATAGATGCGCAAACTGCCATTATTCAGACCCACGAGGAGCCGATCCCCGTATGCCAGCAACGACTCGATCCTCGATTTATCGCGCGGCTTGAGCTCGACGAGAGGCCGAGCCGTGAACGCCGATAACATGGCTTGGCAGGGAGCTTTGTCTTGCTTTCTTCTCTCTCCGGGCGCCGGTGCAGGGGGGTCGGATCCGTCCGTGGCGATAGAGGAGTCATGTCCAGGCGGCGAGCGGGGAGGAGGGGGAAAAAAGGCGGAATCAGGAAGGATGGTGCGAATAGCGCGAGAGGGCCCTTAGGTGATGCAGAAGCGGGGCATATCGTCGGTCGTGGTGTGTGTTGCGTGGTGGGCTTCGCTCGCTGCGGTGTAGGTTGGAGAACAAGACCCGACAGACAGCTAAACTAGAGCTTCCCGGTGACGCTACTCTACCCGGTCGGGGAAGGTCGGTCAGGCTCAGGCATGCAGGCACACATCCACCTGGGTCGGCCGGCCGCCTCATGTGACTTGGTCATTCAGGCCGCTTTAGTTGTTTGGTCTACAGATGTAATTATTTGTATTCCTCTTCCTCTCATTGGGCTTTTCAGTTTCTTGGAAAGGGAATATATGTATTTTTATTATTCGTAATACAACACTAAACAACTTGCGAGCATTGAAGAATCATGCACTGGAAATTCTATCTCTATTCCATATAGTTAAGCGATGAGTATATTAGTTCTATAGGCCGCATTTGGAGAACTCACTCCCCTGCAGACTAGAGAAAGCATCAATAATGCGGAGAAAGCGAGCTTCGTTATAAAAAAGTTCGGGCCAATGGGTGATGTAAATAAAATAATCCGCAATCGCCTCCAACGGTGGATAATATATGCAGGAAATGAATCAGACAGACAGTCCACTTGTACATGCTACCAGAAACCGAAACCAGACTTTTGACATGAAGAGGCGGCGCTGCGAAGATAGGTCGTGATATAATGCGTGTGTATGTGGAATAAAGTTTCCCGGACTTCCACATGAGCTTCAGAGTTGATAGAGAATCTTAGGTATAGCGGATATGAGACAAAGACTCAGACGGGGCCAGATGGGCCGTGCTCATGCTGTGGAGGTTCCGGCGACGACTTCATTCTTCGGTTCGGTGGTAGGGTAATCTTGGTGCTTCGCGGAAGTCCCCTTGGCCCGCCAGGTCGACACGGCGGGAATATCGGCCTTGAACCGCTGCTCGTCGGTACCGTAGGCACGAGGGGTGAGCTTGATCAGCGTGTGAAGGGGCACCTCCATCCACGGGCTCTGCTCCTGCGGCGTGTTCAGGAAATAGGCGTAGATACAACGCAGGACCGCCTGGTGGGTGACAATCATCACGTTCTCACTGCGCTCCAGCTCCATGATAATCGGTTCCAGTCGGATGACAACGTCGCGGTAAGACTCGCCACCGCGGTAGCGATAGTTGTACTTGTCCTCGTCGCGCGCAGCGAAATCCTCGGGGTATTTCTGCGCGATATCCTCGTATGTGAGTCCGTCGCAGACACCAGAGTCAAGCTCGTCGAGCGCTTTCCACTCCAGCTTCTCGAAGCCCGTTTCTGAGGCAAGATGGCGGGCCGTTTGGATTGTGCGCCGAAGCGTGGACGTCCAGATGACGATCTTCGTGTTAGGGGGAATACCCGACTTCTTCATAAGACCCGGAAGCGCTCGAGCATAAGCCTCTCCGCGCTCGGAGATGCTGGAATCCCCGCCAATCTTGCCTACTAGGTTGTACTCGGACTCTCCATGCTAAGCGGATGTTAGATCACAAGTTCCATCATCTCATCCGGAGATCACTTACACGAGACAGCCAAATCGAGCGGGGTTTGATGTGGAGATTTTGGATGTAGTAGACTAGGCGACTGGATAGATAGTCCTTGATCTGATTGATGATTACCGTGGAGCCGACATTGATGAGCTTCACATATGTAAAGTGCTTCTCGTTATCATCGATGGTCTCATAGGCCTTTTCGTAATTGCGGATTCGATTGCGGAAATCGAGCGCAGCAACCTCAGGGTCCTGCCCCTTGTAATCCGGCGACGTGGTTTTGACCTCGAGAATGTTGTTCATTATTAGGTCTTCCTCGTCGCATATCGACTCGACGAATAACGTCTCCACATTGGCCGCATCGCAGCTCTCGTAGATCCAGCGACGTCGCTCCCTCGTGGAATTGGTGGCATCAAGAATAGCCACGACGCCTTTTCCCGACGCAAACCACCGAAGCATATCGGACATGGCAGCCTCCGCGGCAGCTCGCCGCATTTTCTCGCCCTCGCTGTTGTGAGGATCGAAGAAAGTGGCGGTTGGCTGCGGCGTGTTGTTTCGACGGTAGCTGCCTACGTTGAAGACGCGAGCAGGGATACCGACCCACGCGAGATATCGCATAGCTGATTTCGTCAGTCTCGCGATTTACAAATGCACTCTATGCACATGGATAGACAGGCACGTACCTTTGCCAGCTATGAGACTTTTGCCTCGGGCTGGCAGGCCAACCATGACCACGCAGATTTTCGTGTCATCTGACTGTAACCTAGTCAGCATTCTGAGGTTTAATGGGGATTTCCTTGCGGATGTGGATGGTCTGGATGATGTGGCAAATCAGGCAGATAAAATATGCGCGTAGTGCAGACGAGTGATAGTAATAAACGACTCGATAAGAAGCAAGAAGCAAAAGAAAAACGAGAAGAAAGAAAGTCTGCTACAAAAGTTGTATACTAGATTTCCCGGGTCAAGTACCGGGCAGACTATAAGGCAAGAGTGGGCAGCTGCCAAGGCAGAGCGACCCAGAAGCCAGAAGCCGGGGAACAACGCAATCAATAAATCATGAACATCTAAACCAGGCACTTACACTGGCAAAATAGCTCTTGTGGCCATTACCTCTCCGAACAGCCGCCATGATGGGCAACTAGCAAGGAAAAACGAGAGATGAATACGAGACAGAGACGAAAGACCTCGGGCCAAGACCAGACGAACCGACCGAACAAGAGGACCGGAGAATAGGGAATTTGGAGGGGGGGAAGCCGTGGGAGAAGTAGTAGATTGGTCCCAAAACCGGGTCAAGGAGAATTAATGGCGTAAGACCGGGGAGAGGATTCCTCCCTTTTTTTTTTGTCTTTTTGCTTTGCTGTCGGAACTCCAACCGGCACAATTCTCACCGAACGTACAAAACAGACAGTTCCGGCTGCCTTTTCACAGGATGGAATTCTTTTTGCAAGGGGGAAAAAGAACAAGAGATCTGGTTGGATCCCATTAAGCCCCAACAGCCGATGCGGTGAAGAAGTCGAGGGACAGCGCAGACGTCATGCCGCGGGGCAAATCAACCGATGGCCCGCCGTTGCGGTGGAAGGACGCAAGAATTGCCGGTGGACCAGCCCTGGTAGCGCCGGGGGTGCAGGATGGAGGATGGAGATCAGAGATGAGGCTTTTCGAGGAAGATCAGGAGATTGAATTCTTCGAAGGGACTGGGAGACAATGCCCTCAAACAGCGCACCACGTGATGTCCCGGACGTTTTCGTCGGGTAAACTCGCGGCCGGCGCTTGGGATCGGAATGATCGACGCGGCACAAGTCGGGCTAGCATTAGACTACCAGTCTAGACTACGAAGTCGGAAAGGTGGGTGGCTTCGAATCATCGTGGTCATTCCGGAGTCAGTCCTCCATCTGTCTCTTCCCGGGTCGTTCGATGATACCACCTCGGGCTATATACATCCAACGACCGGAGAGACTATTATGCATGTCGTTCAGATGCTTTTCCAATCGTTATATATATAAAAAAAAGCCTTCTCTCGCCTTGAGAATGGAAGGCGCCAAATCTCTAAATTTTTTTATGTCCTTTTGCTCCTTTTTGACTCCCTAACCCATGCAAGAAAAAAAAACAAGAAAGTTGTCTCCAAATGGCCGGTATTCTCAAATGCAAATGGTGCTCCTGGCTTTCTTAAGCATCGACCGCAATCTCGGCGGGAGCAGCTTCATTCTCCCGAGAACTCGACCACTTGTTCTTTCTCTCCTCCGAGTTCCAGGTTTCTCCGCGGGCTCTCTGCACTCGGATGTTACCACCCCAGGGCCCCTCCTTGCCGTTCAAGGCGTCCATGGCAGCCTGCGTCTCTTCGACAGTGCCGAAGTCGACGAACAGGTAGTAATGGTCACCAGCCTCGAACCGCTTGGCGGGGTGGGGGCTGAACAGTTTGCTGATGTTCTCACTGATGGACATGTTAGTATCATATAGACGGTACAGTAAAGACTGACGGGACATACATGTTGAACCCCTTGAAGAAGTTCGTGATGTTGCTGGTGATCGATTCCTGGTCGCTCACGCGGGGCAGTCCCCCGACGTACAGACGACGGCTCGAATCGGAATTGGTTCTCTGGAAGACGGGGGCGGCGGGAGGAGTAGGGGCACTGTCGTCCCGGCGCCATCGGTCCATACCGAAGGGGGAGGAGGAAGTTCTGGTGGCACGCGGGGAGCCATCCGTCCGGGGCGACTGCTGCTGCTGCTGCTGCTGCTGCTGAGACCGTTCGCTTTGCGACTTAACCACACCCGGCTTGATCTTCACAGGACGGCCCAGCATATCGTGACCGTCCAACTCGACCATCGCGCGCTCAGCTAATTCCTTCGTCTCGAGATCCACGAAGCAGTATGACGGGTTCCGGCCGGTAAAGGGATCGATGGCGATATCGATGCGCTCGCTATGAAAGCAACACTTCAGTTGGGGACCATCCTTGGCACAATATTTTCTTCTTTTCTTTTCTTTTTTCTCACTCAGTCATACATTGGGAATTCGGCGGCCGTGAACAGTGCCTGTACATCCTCCGATTTGGCCGTGTAGGGCATGTTGCCTACGTAGAGGCGACGTCCCTCCGAAATGGCCTGCGGGACATGGGGACTCGGTTTGCTGAACGCGACTCGCGAGGTATTGGTCTTGGGGCCGGGGGAGCCGGCGCCGCTAGGGCTCTCTTCGCCCTTCATGCGCCAGTTGGGGGAGTGGAAAGCACGGCCCGTCGTTCGAACGCCGTTCTGGAAGCCGGTTTTGGCGGGAGCTAAAGTAAGGAACCCATTAGTCAATTCTTTCGCAGCACCGCATTAACGCTTCCTTTGGATGCAGCCTCGGATTGAGCAGTCACCAATGGTTTCGTTCTTTTTTTTTTTGTTTTCGTTTTGTTTCCTACACACTTTGTTCCTGCGGCCTAGGACTCTCGGGAGCGTCGACCATTTTGGCGGATGTATTTATTTGAACGAAAATGAGGAGATGAGGGGGAAAGCGTCGTAGGAAGTCTGTGCCAGTCCCTGAGTGTTAGCGTTTCAGTTGATATATTTCCCCATTCGACAACAACACAAGGCAAGTAGAAACTGCACGCAAATCACTTACCCGAAAGGGGTATATCACAGCACGAAACCTGCAGTAGACAGAGAGAGAGGTACCAGTATGGAAAAAGACCAAAAGACCAAACCAAGTCGCATATAGGTAGAAAGGAAGACGAACAGAAAAAGAATATTCAACAATCGAAAAACAAAAGCGCCCTTGAATGTAGCCTGCGGGAAAAAAAATGCGGAATTACTTTTTTCGCCGCGGGACCCAAGGAAACAAACGCAGCAAACGGCGGGCCTGTCGCGTTCCGCGCGCCCTCGCCTGTGGTTGGTTCGTTAGCGAAGTGTTTTTTAGTCTCCGTCGACGCCTATTTAAGGCTCGCTTCCTTCTTCCTATGGACATCTCTGCAGGACATGATCTCTCGATGTTTGGGATTCATGCTTCCAATTGCGCTTCGAGCTCCCGTCTCAACTAACCACCGCATCACATATCTCAGCTTGCACCATTCGCAATTCGCCATCCTCATAGGTAAGCTCCTTCGAATCTCTCTTTTCCCTCTCTTCCCTTGGGACATTCTTGGATGCAAATTCAGTCCATTCCAATCCACCACTTCGTATGAAGAAGAAACTTTTCACACAGACCTGTTCCGAGCATTTATCCATGCGGATTATCAATCGTACCAACTGCTGTCTGACGAAGCTCCGAAACATTTGTTTTGTACTCGCATTGATTCGTTGGAGATCATAAGACTAACTTGTCATTGCAAAGATTCTAGGATTCTCAATCTCGTCGGATGCTTCGTGGTTTATATAAACTGGATCGAGAGATGAGGTCTTGGCGACACTGCATCCCTCGGATTAGCTAGTTATATCAATGAAACAACTTGAGTTTGAACATGATTTTTCTTCTGGTATCGCGAGACTGTAGATTATATTGTATCTGATACATTGATATCCGACATCAAGAGGACATGTCCCAATCCGAAGAGGTCTACACTCGGCTTCAACTGGATCGGCCTATGACTTGTTGCATGCACTTTAGATGATTAAATCCATCGCTCGTTCCAGCTTCACTAAAACCTTCTCTATCCATGCACACCGGACTTCCATTGCAGGCGTCGCAATAGCCTAGCCTCAAAAGACCTTGGCTAATTTAGAAATATTTCCCGCGATTGTTGGATCAAACAATAGGTTAGTATTGTCACACCGCTAAATGCCAGTCATTAGTCTCATACACTAAATGTTGTAGGTCAGAGGGAGTTAGTTCTATGGCACTAGCCGAACTATCATGATATTGAAGCTATCGAGGAAGCAAGATATATAGAAAAGATTGCGGACGGCACTATGCCCAAGGATAGACATTTCCAAAAGACTCTAACCCTCCTGTACTCGCCCACGGGTTATCCTTAAAAGGCCAAAATAAAGCAAAAGCCCTGTTAGATTCAACGAAGTACGTTATCCCTCCCTATATCAACTCACGGCGCTGAGTGATTTGAATGCTGGAAAAGGTCCTGAGCCATTTATCCAGCCAAGGGTATGATTCACCCTCCAACGGATCATTCTCCAGATCTTCAATTGTCTCAAGATGGCTGGCAATAATCACCATTAGGCAATCCGGTAGATATTGGATTGTGCGACTCTCTTGAGATCCTCCCACTTCCCATTTGTGCCATGAAGCATGCTGAGATCGAATATCCATTTCTCTTCCTGAGGCCTCAGAGCGAGGGTTTTCACTGCCTGATATAAATGCGATATCATTGTCTGATCGCGTTGTGTGGTAACCTTGACTCGGGTAAATGTAGGTTTGCCGTTGATCACCCATCCAGGACACGTCTCAATAACTCCGAAGGAAGACATTGGAGGCTGTTGGACTAATATTCGTCTTCAGTTGGCGTCTTCGCGTTCGAAAATCTTTTCATCTATAGGGTCAATTTCAGGCAAGTAAGGACCAGGGCTGAGTTTATAATAGCCTTTTCGGATTACTGTTGTGTATAGTGTTTTTCTGAAGTATCGAGGCCATAGATATCTCTCGAAAAACGGATTTCGAATACTCTTCTTGCGGTCATAAGGTCCCTCCTTGACTGGTTCAAAAAAAAAAGGGGGCTTCCTGAAGAGCTCTGGAGCTCTGGAACTCTGGATTAACTCATGCCAGTGGTGGCATACTCGTTGAGCCGATATGAGCAAAGTATCTATATCAGTCAATAAGAGAGTCTGCTCTAGCATCTCTGTGATAAGAAAAAATCCTGTGCGGTCTGTTTGGATCCATCTTCGCAGTGAAAGTAGATGATATAGATTATCAGTGAGATGTAGTGGATATTAGTGGTGTGGACAACTGCGGAAGTCTTCAACTATGACTCATTAATAAAGTATGTTCGGCAGTCCAAAGCGGCCGCCACTCGGCTCTACCTCCTGCCTATAGATCTTATCATATCTGATATGTTAATGCTCAGAAATAACGGGACATGCAACTTCCGAAAATGTCTACACTTATACTCGGTTTATATATGACTTGACTGGCTGCATGCACTTGATCAACAGCATGATATTTCCATTGCCTTTAAAAAGAACGCCCCAGACGTTAGGTTCACATCATATCCCAGCTCATCCCAAATGGACCATAAGCAGAAGAGGACTAGACCATCAATAGATTCCTACAACCTCGTGGTCAACACGTCAGATAAAGAAAAAGAAAACGAAATACTACCAGACGTAACCCAAAACCGAAGAAAACCCAAACCACAAACTCAAATCGTATTAAACCCCGCCTCAGGGTTCACTGCCGACAGATCCTCCCTCTCATACAACACCTCAGGCTGCACCGGCCGTCTGAGCAAATAGCGCTTCACAAAGAACGGAATCTGCCGTAGCCCATACGCGGCGTGGAAATGCGTCGAGACCGAAAACACCTGATCGAGTTCCTCTAGCGTCTTCCCCTTCGTTTCGGGCAGGAGCACCAGGATGAGCCACCATCCGACGATATTCCAGCCCGCGTACCAGCTGAACGCGCCCTGCGGGGTGAAGGTGTTACGCAGAGACGGCCAGGTGATAGCGAGGAGCCAGTTGAAGAACCAGGTGGTGGCGGTGGCCAGCGCCATACCGTAGGATCGTACGTACAGCGGATACGCTTCGGCGGAGTAGGTGAAAGGTACGGGGCCTTCGCCGGTGGAGTAGACGACCCCGAAAAGGTAGGTGCCTAGGGCGATGCAGCCGAGACGCGCGGAGTTGTGCGTGTCCTCGGGGATCCAGAAGCTGAAGCCTGTGAAGAACATGGCGATGGCCATTAGTGGAAAAGTGGTGAGGAGGAGGTTGCGTCGGCCGAATGTGTCGATTGTGTAGACGGCGGGGATCGCGAAGAGCCAGTTGATTAGGCCCCAGCCGAGAGAGGCTGTTAGGGCATTTCGTTGGTTGGTGGTCTCGAGGAAGATTTCGGACGAGTAGTAGGCGATTACGTTGACTCCTGTGAAGTTGTCGTTAGTATAGATAGGGGGATTTGATGAACTTAGATGGCTACATTCAGTGAGGCATACCGCAGAACTTGATCTCATGTTAGCCATAGTTCAAAGGATTGGGGGGAAAGAAGTCATACCTGTTGCAGAAACATGACAAGCTCGGAGGCAATCAAAGCACGTCGATTACGAGGCACGGCGATCAGCTCCAGAAGTTTGTTCTGTCCAAGCTTCATCGAGTTCTCTGCCTCCAGCAACGTGTGCATATAATACATGTCCCGGGCTGCTTGGATCTTGGTGGGCCGCAGACTGCACATAGACTGGTATGCTTTGGCATATAGATTCCGGGACATGTACCATCGCGGTGACTCGGGACAAGAGAAAACGAAACAGCAGACAAGGATGGCCGGAAACATGGCCGACCCCATCATAAGGCGCCAGTTCAAGCCGACGATGCCAGACTGGTCCTGCACCTCAAAGAAGGCAAGGTCCGCTGCATAGCCAAACATGATGCCAAAGGCTGTCCACATCTGCCACTGCATGACCAAAGCACCACGAATCGCGGGCGGCGCCGTTTCGGCGGCGTAGACAGGGACCGTGGCGGATTTGGGCCCGATGCCGAATCCCAGCGCGAACCGCGATATGAACATATGCCACCAGGTATTCACGAATCCTTGCCACAGACAGGCCAGCGCGGAGAAGCAGCAGGTGATGAAGATGGTTCCTCGCCGACCAAACCAGGCGTTGAACGGGACTGTCAACCAGCAACCGATGACGGCGCAGCATAGATAGGGAGCGGAGTTGACCAGGCCAACCAGCCAATTCGACCGAGAATCGGTGCCGCTGATTCCGAACTGATGCTTGTAGAAGATCTGCGCGCCGTTGACGACCGTTTCGTCTAAATCGAACGAAGCCATTAGCTCGGTTTTCTCGCGTGAAGCAAAGATAGAGACCCCTCCCCAAGCTGATCGAAGCACTTACCCATTCCCTGAACCGCAGCCGACAGCGAACACAAGATGATCACCAGGTACATCGTCCACGGCTGGGACCAACGGTTGGTGAATTCCTTTTCCAAAGCGGCCAGTTCCTCCGCCGTCATGCTGGGCAGATTCGTGACCTTCTCCGGCGTCTGCGCCAGGACGGCGCCGATGCCAAACGCGCGGATATCCTCTTCGTCGCCGATCTGATGGGTGATGGCAAAGGCGATACCTTGCCTTCGTAGTTCCTCATGGCTATACCCGGCCAGCGGATTCGCCAGCTTCGCGTTCAGATTGCGCCGGGCCCGTTCGGCCGCAGTTCCGAAGATGCGACGAGGCAGAATATGCTCCTTATCCGTGGCGTATTCGACGTTGTGATGCCCAGGGATTGGGTCCCCGAAAACACCTATCTCGTCCTTGCCAGACATCTGGACGGTTGATTACCGATATTTGCAGGATGGATCACAGAAGATGGTAGTGCAAGGCTGGACGGACAGTAACACAAGCAAGTTGTTGGAAACCGCGGTGTGGATTCTTCACGAACGACGCTAGTCAAAAGGACATGTGAAGAAGGCCCGGGGGGAGGGGGGCCTAGAAATGATCTGCGCAATAGAACAATAATCGTCGCAAGCCGCTACAGGGATCAAGGTCCTAGGACAGCCAGTGTCGAAGTAGCTGGCATATCAACAAAGGAGGCCGACTACGACAAAGAACCGAAGTGCCGGGGCACCTGATAGATGTATGAATGGGCTCACGTTAGTGAGAAAGGAGTACCAAGGAAAGACCAGTGAGGGGGGGGGCAACCATGAGGGACGGAGAACAAGGAATCTCACGATGAAAGGTGCGACAGACGTTGCGCTACTTGACTGGCAAACAGAGCGGAGGCATCCGGCACGGGAGGGTTCCTGGGCAATAATCCGTGGAAGATTCCAGCCATCTTTTAGAGTCGGAATTTGCTTCTCCTTTTTTCTTGATTTTAGAACAGCCTTCTGCAAAAAAAGATTTCCTCGAGGACTGGAGGCGTTCCTGCCCGAGGTCAGCACAGGACTGATTGGCGGAGACGTTCGTTTGCATAAAGAGAGGCTGGGAGCCCATCAAGGCGAGGGGTGAGTGGAGGCAGACAAAGGAGGCCTTGCGCTTCGTATTCAACAGGGTCAAGAGGCACCCGTTAGGTCACCGGGCGGAATCTGGTCTTCCTAGGGGATTGCATTCACCGGTGAGGGTGTGGTATCCAGAATCAACAAAGGCTGCGATGGAAGTATGACCGGGGGTGGAGCTTTCAGGTCGATCAGTCATCCTGTCGATATTTATATATAGAAGTATATATAGAGACATAGACATAAGACTCTCTGGCAAGAAAGCGGGGTCAAGTCTATCGGATCGGATGTCAACTGAAATAGTGAAGTGAACTCGGCCTGTTAGGTTCCGACCGGATGGGCTGAACCGTTCGGAACTGCTCGGTCTTGTAGAGTCTATACTTCTTCTGGGGTCTACCCGACGGGAGATCCGCCATGACGTCCACTTCCCCGCATTCCCCTTCGGATCCCGGGGTTGATGCTTTCTTATACGAGTATCCCCAAATGTACTGTAATTTTCGGAAGTCGGCACGAAACTAATCCTAATCCTATAAAGCTGGCGCAACTCCCTTGCTTCATTGCGTTTATCTCTTCACAGTTACCTATCTCACTTTCTCACAATCTAATTGACTCCCCCGAAAAAAGATCACAAGAATCAACTGTCTACCATGCTCGGAAAGATCGCCCTCGAGGAAGCCTTCGCACTGCCTCGCTTCGAAGAAAAGACCCGCTGGTGGGCAGGTCTCTTCTCCACCGACGTGGAAACCCACGTCAAAGAAATCACCGACATCAACAAGATCCGCGTGGAGCATGCCGACAAGCACGGCGTCGGCTACCAGATTCTCTCCTACACAGCCCCAGGCGTCCAAGATATCTGGGACCCGGTAGACGCGCAGGCTCTGGCCGTCGAAATCAACGACTACATTGCCGAGCAGGTGCGCGCCAACCCGACTCGATTCGGAGCCTTTGCGTAAGTATCCTTCCAGACTCCGCACCATAGTAGTGCCCATTCTGATGCCGAGACTAACCGGTGCGGGGATGATTCTCCCTCTAGAACGCTATCCATGCACGATCCCCAACAAGCCGCCGACGAACTACGCCGCTGCGTCGAGAAATACGGCTTCAAAGGCGCCCTGGTGAACGACACGCAGCGCGCCGGCCCAGATGGCGACGACCTGATCTTCTACGACAACGCCAAATGGGATGTATTCTGGCAGACCTGCGCAGACCTAGACGTGCCCTTCTACCTCCACCCACGCAACCCCACAGGCACAATCTACGAGAAACTCTGGGCAGACCGGAAATGGCTCGTCGGGCCACCGCTCAGCTTCGCGCACGGCGTCAGCCTGCACGTCCTGGGCATGGTAACGAACGGAGTCTTCGACCGACATCCCAAGCTACAAGTCATAATGGGCCATCTAGGCGAACACGTGCCCTTCGACATGTGGCGAATCAATCACTGGTTCGAGGACCGCAAGAAGCTGCTGGGCCTGGCAGAAACGTGCAAGAAGACGATCCGTGAGTACTTTGCGGAGAATATCTGGATCACGACGTCGGGGCATTTTTCGACGACGACGTTGAACTTCTGTATGGCGGAGGTCGGGGCTGATCGGATTCTTTTCTCGATTGATTATCCGTTTGAGACGTTTGCGGATGCGTGTGAGTGGTTTGATCATGCGGAGTTGAATGGGACCGATCGGTTGAAGATTGGGCGTGAGAATGCGAAGAGGTTGTTTAAGTTGGGGGCGTATCATGATAGTACGGCTTGATTTGTTGGATTGAGATATGTTAGTTAATGAGGCTGGTGAAGATATGACTTGAAATCAAATGTTTCAACATAGCACAGTAGCTGATGTATAGACCATCACCTATGACCGCATAGTGAAATCGGCATATTCAACCTCGTAAAGGCAACGGCAGATATGAAATGCCATGTCATCATGTTTCCCAGCTGGATTCTGATCGGTACGAGAAACCAGCACTCAATGACCTGTGTATATCGCTTCACTTGCCTCTCACTTTCAGTTTGCATCTACTGTGACCAGAATGGAAGTTTTTGGGTGACACATACAGGTTTTTGTTTATTTATTTATTTTTTATTTATTTTTATTTTCCAAGTGTTTTTTTCGTTTTCAAAAATGAAAGGAAAGTGAAGAAAACCAAGACAATGACAAGAACAGGTTCTTCAGCGTCAAAAATAAGAATATAAGACATGAAAAGAGAAGAAGGAAAGAAAAGAAAAGCCTGCCCCCCCTTACATTCCCAAACGGACCCCCCCTTCTGCCTCCTGCTGGTAGAGAAGGTTCTCGTCGTCCCAGATCGCCTGGTGGTTGGCGACTGTGCCCATAGCGGGACTGATGAACTGGGCCTTTAGTTCATCATTGACCACCATGATGGCCATGTAGTTGTCCACTGTGTGCTGCAGGATAGTCCAGGTTGATATGAGGAGACGGGAAACTATCATGCGCTCGTCGTACAGGACGGTGTCATGAATGACTTGGTAGTTGTAGATGTTCAGAAAGTCGCTGTACACGTAGGCGTCGAAGAGGTCGATGAAGGTCTGCAAGAGACGGTGTTCGGCGGGGCGAGGACGCTTCAGGTTTCTATACAGATCTCCTGGTTAGTTGGGCTGTTGAATCGAGATGAAATGAGAGACGTGATGCCATGAGATTGGGTGTTATGCAACGTACCTCAAGATGGGCCGGATCATGCCGCGAAATCTCATCTCAGGAGAAGCATTCTTATCAGCGGCAGCATGGACAACGATGGATTTGACGGCCAGGGCATCACGGGACTCCTTCTGGAGAGTCTGCTCTAGGAATCCTAGATATTCGATGAAAGCGTGAGCGACCGGAGTGATCTGCTCAATTGTCTGCGGACCCAGGAACGCGCCGGTCGAGAGTTCGGGACTCTGGAAGATGTCGAGTTCCAAGCGAAGCACGTCGTTGGACAGGGCGCTGAACTTGCTTCTCAGCTCGTCGTTGATTTCGGGATCAAGAAGCACCTCGGTCATCGCGTTGAAGGTCATGTTTTTCTTGTCGGCGGTAGACACACGGCCACGACGAACGGTTTCCTGGGTCATTCTCTTGTACTTCGAGGCAAGATCGCTTGGCTGCGCCGCGAGCAGAGGCTGCGCGGAAGTAGTAGAAGATGCATGGCCGAGGATCTCGCTCGAGCGCATGGAATGAGTCACGACGATGGGCTTGCTCAAGGGGTTCGGAGCCACGTACGGGACACGAGTGGGGGTGTTGCCACTAGTGAAGAAGCGCGAGTTGGTGCGATGACGGACAGGAGTTATAGGCCAGCCAGCTGAACCCTGACGATGATTGAATTCGGCATTGACACTGGGAGAGGTGTTGGGGTGGGGACCGTGACCCGCGAAGGGATTCATGCTGGGGTGTCTGAACGACATCTCTTCCAGGCGGAGGCTTTCGTCTGCGACTTTGGAGAGCGCGTAAGCGTAGGCTTGTTCGACCTCGATTGCGTCTTCGACAGGCTCGCAGTATGGGGGAAACGGTATGGGTGCGCTAAGATCAGGCTCTCCGTGGGGGAAAATCGGTCTTTTAGGTGGGAGTTTGAGGGAGGGAGGGCTCTGGAGGTGAATTGGTCAGTTGAGAAGAGAGGAAGAAAGCAAGTGTGCCTTAGAAGACTCACAGGTGTGCGCTTGTTGCCAGTGGATACTGCGTCCTGATGTGCACTAGTGTCGATTTCCATGGCCATGTCTATGTCTTCCCACTTGCCGGACTCGGAACCTTCAGTGTCAAGGGGATCTACCGGTTTCTCAGGGTCAAACACTAGCCATTCGTTCGCTTCAGCAATAGAGTCAGAAGCAGTCAAGTTATCGTTGATCGAGACTGCCACTGTAGCTACACCACTTGGAACACTCCCAGTGATGGCAGTTAGGTTTGTTGAAGGAACATTCCCAGCAGCAGTTTCACCGGGAACATCTTCATGTGCAACATCTTCGAAAGGAAAGATCTCTGTGGAAGAGTCCGAGTCTGTTCCGGGAATTTCAGGGTAAATGTGACCAAAAAGGCTGAACTCAGGATTTGCTACGTGTTCAAGGGCATCCGCTTGCTGACGATGCTGGTCGGACAAGCCTGTAACATCTTCTTCGTGCTCTTCCTCAGCAGGGCGCCGTATCTCAACACGCCGTTTGAAAAAGAATGCAAGAAGATCAGGCATGTTTATTCTTCTGTGACAGCGTGCCTGTTCTTGAACGATACAATCCAGATGCTGTCTGGCTAAACCACCCGGAGGCACAGGATTGTTGTTGGACATTTTGACTCGCGATATGTGAAATGAGGCACTGAACTGTGCACGAGATGAACCGGAAACAAATAAAGTAACAACAGTTGGGCACAAAGAATCAACAGTGGTCAAGCAAGAGAAAGACAGATTGGGGTATGCAAACAGGAAAGGGTGGTATAGAAGCCCGATGAAGTAATCGAGAGAATGAACGAGAAAAGGAGTTTGAGAGACAAGAAAGGAGAGAGATGGATAGAGAGCGAGGAAGTGTGCGAAGCTATTGTTTGGTATATACCGCCTAACGGTGAATACTAGCAGGAGCCCTTATGAATGTGAGAGTTCTCTCCCATGGGCTTCTCCAGCCTCCACTGAGAAACGACCATGCATGCTTGCGCTAGCCCTAGCTTACCAAGGTCACCAGTTGAACGAATGCAGTAACAGAAGTACCGTGCAGAGTTTGCATTCTATCAAACAAGTGTTGAGAATGAAAGAAAAGGAATACTAGGGACAAGGTAGGGTGCAAACAGCATTCCGTTAGTTTTTGTGAAGGTCAAAAGGGAGATGCTAGTATGCTCTGTTGCTAGTTGCATAATGGCCATTTATTGCAGGTTGGGGCCGGAAATAATAGGACTGCATATAGTTTTAACCCCATCAAGACTTCTAATCGATGATGCATTTCTTCTACCTTCAAGGCTTGCGTGTTAGAGATCAGCATTGGTAGAAACGAAACACCTGCAGCAAGACCTCAAGATCCCATATTTCTTCTAACGAAAGAGTGACGTTGGCCATGACCTAGCTTCCTGGTGCAGCCAGGGCAGACATCCATCGTCAGGCAATATAGAATTGCATCTTATGATTACGTTTTTAGGTAGCTCCAAAGAAGGCGGTCTACTGATATCAGTACATGAAATTTCCCGATGGACAAAATTGATATTAAACTATCCGAGAGTAGGTATGTACTGCACCTCAAATCGAAAACGTTCACTACTTGAAACGCCTATTCGGATCGGGTTGCAGAAGGGCCCTCCCTAAGAGCACTGCCTGGTGGATAAAGAGGAATGAAAGAGGAAGAAACAAAACGTTTCTTCCAACCATTCAACTTCTCAGACAATGCCCAGAGGTTAAGAGAGCCGGCTCGTTCTTCGCACATTGACTAATCAGCACGTCATTGGAAAGGAGCGTGACAACTTAAAGTAGTGCGAGGGATTTCGGAGTCGACGTTCAAAAGACTATGAGATCGAGATGGGATCGCGATGCGAAGACCGAGAGGTGATCAATCATCCTTCCTACGTTGCTCGGACCTATCATTGTGCACATCACCATCGTCATCGTCGGGCAACGGAACGTCCATGACCCGTTCTCCAGCTTTTTCCAACGTTTTCCGACTCCAGTTCCTTACGCCTTTGTATACTGCCTGTAACGTAGTTAGCATTTGGATCAGAATATAGCGGCAGCCAACTTACCCAAAGAAAGGTTATAACGCCAATCAAAATAACTATCCAGCTCACAGACGCAGCTCGGCTCCTACCAGTGTTTCTACCCCCACTGACAACGCCAGAGCTGCGAAGGTTCCACCACTGCCAAGGCGAGAGGGCGAATAGAGCTTTGATGAAGGATAGGACGCCCAAGGAAGCCAGTCCCTTGAAAAAATGCTCAAACCAGCCAGGACCTCGGGCATTCGGTAGAACGTCAGACACTGTCGGGTCCCAGAACTCCGAATAATAGATGGTCTCCATAGGGTCCACGTAAAGGTTAATGATGGGGTCAGCAACAAAACCAAGGAGAAACACCGTGAAAATCAAAATGCTCAAAGTCAATCCAAACTGTGCGAAAGAACTACTGATCCAACGCGCCCACGTGAGACGCTCAAGCCGATACTGGAAGCCACAGGTGGGACACTGCCAGTAATTCCTCTTGCCATACCCTGGGTCCGCGTGTCGCCAGGACTGGAGGCAGCCCTCATGGACGTATCGCGAGGAACCTTTGCATTTGCACGGACGAAGCAGGCGGCCGAGTTCCGGATCTTCCGACTCGTAGACAACTCGGGGTTGGCCTTGGAGGAACCCAGGGAGGTTTTCCGCAGGAGGGTGGAGGGTGGGCAGCACGGTCTCTAGGCAGATGCGGCAGACGCGAGGTGGATAATGCTTCCGAGAAGCTTGTGGAGGAGCACCCGCATCATGGGTGCTGTGAGTATCTTCAGGCGTTTCTCCTGCCTCCGCGTTTACAGGAGGATTTGATGAGGAGCTTGCAGGCCAACGCCAGCGTGGCTCATTGTGCAGGTCCATTCTGTCCAATGACGTGTTCAAAAGGGATTGTCATAATATACCACCCGAGGTCTACCTGTGACCTGGCTGAATATACAGTGAGGCTATGTGTCGGGGGAGAGAATGCGCGAGTAGACACAGAGAGAAAGACGGAAGGGGAGTACCATGCAGAAGAGCAAGAAGAGGAGAAAGAAGAAAAAAAAAAAAAAAAAAAAAAAAAGCCTGAGGACAGATGTGGAGAGAGGGAGACAGACAGAAGCGCGGCGAAAGGGCGCTAGCCGCTCGCCTACCGTCACCGCCCCAGACGCGGCTTGGCATCGAGCAACTGCGTCAACATCCTGTCGCCTTGCTCCAGACTCTCTGACCGAAGGCAAGCTTCAGTTTGGATCCCCCACCACCCCTTCTATCTTCCAAACCCTTTTATCCATCTTCCCTACCTATCCAAGTCTCTCCTCCAGAGCTTCTGGAGGTACAAATACGTCTCCATGGCTGACCGATATTCGTTCTCCTTGACTACCTTCTCCCCCAGGTAAGATGAGCTTCCCGCTATCCACAGACGGAACATACGTGTAGCTAACATCCACCACCAGTGGAAAACTGGTTCAGATTGGTAATGCCCTAAGCTTCATCTGTCATGGGATGGGGATGCTGATTCGCTCACAGAATATGCCTTGAACGCCGTCAACTCGGGTGTGACTGCCCTTGGAATCAAAGGTGTGTCCGATGCGGGTTTCCTTATGCGGGTTCGAGCAATTACTGACCTTTACCCCTCTGCGATGATCAGCTACAAACGGAATCGTTCTTGCTACGGAAAAGAAGTCTTCTTCGCCCCTCATCGACCCCCCTTCTCTCTCCAAGATCTCCTTAATCACCCCCGACATTGGTATGGTCTATGCCGGAATGGGCCCTGACTACCGCGTGCTCGTCGACAAGGCCCGTAAGGTGTCTCACACCGGCTACAAGCGCATCTACAACGAATACCCCCCTACTCGGATCCTGGTGCAGGATGTGGCTCGCGTGGTGCAAGAGGCAACGCAGTCCGGTGGTGTCCGACCGTACGGCGTCAGTCTGCTGATTGCCGGTTGGGACGAGGGCGTTGAGCCCGAGTCGGAACAGGCGGCGAAGGGCGAAGACGAGGACCCGGAGTCTGGAAAGGCCACGGGCAAGACAGGCGGTATCCTCAAGGGCGGCCCGAGCTTGTACCAGGTCGACCCCAGTGGCAGTTATTACCCGTGGAAGGCCACGGCCATCGGCAAGCACGCCACGAGTGCGAAGACCTTCCTCGAGAAGCGTTACACCGAGGGCCTTGAACTCGAAGATGCTATTCACATCGCCCTTCTGACGCTAAAGGAGACCATCGAGGGTGAAATGAACGGAGACACGATAGAGCTGGGTGAGTCAACCATACGTTCCAACATGGTTATGTGAAGCATGCCCCTGACTGACCGATCTCTAGGCATTGTTGGTCCTCCTGCTGATCATCTGCTTGGCTACGAGGGCGTCGAAGAGTCCCGAGGACCCAGATTCAGGAAGCTGACCAAGGAGGAGATCGAGGACTACCTGACCAACCTATGATTGATACGCGTTTGGGCATTTGATATTCAACGAACCTGCTAGTTTAATAGACATTATCGAGTCTGCGAGGTTCCCGGGCACAATACGTTTAGCACATGAACCGTAAAATTCTGGATGGGTCAGTGATGACAGAGACCTGTGGAAGGTCTATAATTGATGAGAGCAGGGCGTTCTGCCCATTAATACCTTGAGATAACAGTAGGCAATACATGCGTAGCCAGAACATGTGACGGGCGGTCTAGAAAGGCCGGAAAGCCGCTCAGGAGGGAAATAGCTGTCTTTCTCTTTTCTTTTTTCCTCTTCTCTCTCCCGCCAGGATCCTGTAATCCTGTGGTTGTTGGCGTGCTGAGCGAGCGGGTCACCGCATCTCTGTCACACAGGCAAACCTTGAGCTGCGACTGTTGGTTGCCAATCCAACGTCCATGGCGTCTCTGATGCGCGCGAGAGAGTCTTTGGCTTTCTTATCCCCGCAACGCAATAACCCGACGTTAATTGTCAGGGGAAATACGAAAGCCACTCATCCTTCATCGCTTTTAACGAAACAGTCGGGACGTTTTTCTTTCTTGTTTTTGTCGGACACTAAATCTATTTGAATTTGCTGATGCTTGTCCCAGCGGCATTGGACCAATAATCCAACAGTGGCCCCAAACCTTCTCTATGGCGATTTGGACTAGTCCGAATCCCTTGTGCCTAGCATCTCGATAACAAACAAAATCCAGCACGCCGTGTCTCCCTCGGGTCGATGCGAGCAATGGATTGGGTCTGGGGGATCTACGCTAGGGCCACGCATCGTGGCCATTTTATTAGGGGAAGGGTCCCATGAACAGCTGGAAGCGAGGTTGTACCACCAACATTGTGGTTTGCACTGTGCAGGCTCCAGTCAGATCTCTGCTCTCCTCGATTAATGTGTTGTTGTTTCGTTGCTGCCGCTGCAGTTACTGTCACCACCATTCCTTTTTGCCTCTTTGTTTTCCATCAATGTCTTCGCCCGTCGTCAGAGCAGCGGCTCGTTTGTTTGGCTTGGGGCCTAGCATGGTAATCAGTTGATGGGAAAAGAGCCAAGTGAGTAGATGCGACCGCAGATTCCACAGCACGGTGGCCTTTTTCTCTCTCTTCTCTTTCTTCTTCTGTGTCTATATTCCTGCTTTCGAGAGCGCGTTAAAAATAAAAGTGGTTTCCAGCGGGGATGCTCGACTCTGGGGCAATTTCGAATGGTATGCATTCCTTTTCCAGGTGGTTTCTAAACAATTGACCCTGCTATGGGGGGATGGCTCTAGGCGCCTACTAATAATGAGAGCAGAATGACAACCCCCTTATGAACGATTCGATTCTGAGTTTCACAACACATGCTCGCCAGAACAAATATGGCATCTGCTCAAGATCCGTTAGATGGAATATCGGGGGTACTCGAGAACGGTGGGGAAGGCATTAAAGCAACACTCTTCCTCTTTATTTCCGTCGCCTGTTATAATGTGGTGGAGCTCGTGGTTCTCGTCCTGTCCACCTTCCGACGCTGGAGAGGTCTTTATTTTTGGAGTTTGCTCCTCTCGGGTTGTGTAGGAGTGGTGCCATACTCTTTGGGATTTTTGTTGAAGTTCTTCACCGGTGCCACTTCCATCCTGTCGGTTACCATGCTCAGCATCGGCTGGTGGACCATGGTCACGGGCCAATCTTTCGTCCTCTACTCGCGTCTTCACTTGGTTATTCGCGATGAACGAATCCTTCGGCGCGTCCTCTGCATGATCGTTGCCAACATATTCCTCCTTCACGTTCCTACAACTATCTTGACCTATGGCTCTAACGTCAAAAATCCACCACTCTTCTTTGTGCAGGGCTATAACATCATGGAGAAGCTGCAAATGACCGGCTTCACGATCCAAGAGGTGATCATCTCGGCGCTATACGTGTGGGAAACCGTCAAGATGCTCCGACTGGGGTCGGAGCCCTCCAAACGAAAGATCATGCACCAGCTCGTGGGAATCAACGTGTTGATGTTCGTCATGGACTTGGTGCTCCTGGGCCTGGAGTACGCCAACTATTACGCCGTCCAAATTACGCTCAAAGGCGCCATCTACAGCATCAAACTGAAGCTTGAATTTGCGGTCCTCGGCAAGCTCGTCGACGTGGTTCATAGCGGCCAGCGGCCGTCGTCGCTCGGCAACGCGGTGCAGTTAAACTCGCTGGATGTAGGGCATAGCCCGATTCCGCTAGCTGAGTCGTCTGGAATGCCGCGGAATATGACCTTTTGCACGGTGGCCGGTGCATTGGCCTGCGGGCCATCCCGACAGGAAAATAAAGCCGTTCCTCGCAGGACGGCGAACGGAAAGATTGTGACGATGACGGAAGTGTCGACATGGGTTGAGCGGCGCACAGGCAACTCCCGCGCCTGATTCGAATTCTGCTTCCTTATAAATAATAATTGCACGGGAATGCCTCGGGTCTCCACGACTTACGAGGTAGAGAATACAATAGTATATAGGAGCCCTTGACGGAGGAATAATAACACCATAATTTAATCGTTTTATGTATTGACAATGGCTACGGTATATTCAATAGACCTTGTGACAAATCTTATTCACTTTCTAATAAACCCACATCGTCGTCTTCATTCCACCCGAACTCTCCGTCCGAGTCATCTTCGTCCTGGCTGTCTGCGATCTCATCGACTTTTCGTTTCCGGGCTTTAGCGTCTAGGGGTTCTGTGGGTTCTTGCTGGCCTTCATTCTGGAGCATTTGCTCTTGCTCTTGCTCTTGCTTTGGTTTCTGTTCCACTGCTAGTTCCTCCTCTGGATCTGGTTTCAATGTTTGTGTTGATCCTTCGTCCGGGTCTGGAATGAGATTCCCGGCCTCGCCAGGTTTCTGCGCCGTTGAGACTATATGAGAAGAACCAGGCTCATCAAACGCATGAAGACCATCCTGCAATCTAGTCAGCTTTCATCCATCGCATGCATTTCGCAGGGAGAGAGAATGACACTAACCAGCTCAATCAAAAACGGCACCACGGTATCCTCCTCCCTCCTCACCATCACGGCCTTCCCGTTCCGCTTCATCACCTCCGCAAATCGCACCCTCCTCAGCCTACTCGTCGTCTGTCCCTGTCCCCCTTCTTCTTCTTCTTCTTCACCCCCAGAATATCGACCCTGATACTGGCTTCCCTCGCGCACAAAATCCCGATACAGCCCCACCCGAGCAAACACACCCGCTTCCCACCCCCCGCCCGCCACAACGGGGGTCAGCGTCGCTTGCGGCAGGCCCTTGATGCGCGTATGTATCTGGTTCAGCGCCAGGACGGCCATGTGGTGCGTGGAGGCGAGTTTGGATAATTGGGCGGCGAGATCGCTGGTAACGCTCCATTTGCGGTTGAGAAGCCAGGAGACTTGGGATTTGTCGGTGCGAGTGGTTGAGAGGCGGGCTTTGAGATCTGATGGGGCGGGGTAGTAGGGCTGAAAGGGGGCGGAGATGGAGTCGATGACGAGGAGTGTTATGTTGGGGGGTGGGAAGGAGGAAGGAGGGTGGTAGAGTAGGGAGAGGAGGTGTGGGAGGGTGCGGGTGTGAATGTACAAGAGGTTTTGGGAGAGGTTGGGGATGGGGTTAGTGTTAGAGGGAGATGGATATGGGGATGAGGAAGAGGGAGTGCGTGAGGTTAGGAAGTCCCTAAGTCGGGTTTTGGGGATGGGAGAGCCCGTATCTGGAGAGGTTGTTAGCTTGTTGTGAGAGATATGAGGGAAGTTCGTACCGATCCAGACGACCTTTCCTCCGGTTCGGAGTGTATTTGATGCGATGCTGAGGCTATACGAAGCGTATATCGCGTCAGTGGATCCGATGTAAACATGGGACAGGACGAGCGTACGCGAGAGCGGTCTTCCCGACCCCAGGGGGCCCGAATACCTCCGTGACATGACCTTCGGAGATTCCCTTGGTTTCTTTGCCTGTAAGACCTGGGAAGTCATCAGGCGACGACGGACACAGCGCCTCGTCGAGGCGCGAAAGACCTGTGGAGATGGCAGGGGCCGACGCGGTAGACGCGTGCAACGACTGCGAGGCGGGGAAAGATACCACGCGATCTGCAAGTAGTTAGACATAGCCATTTTAGATACATCGACGAGGAGTTGTAGGAAGAGTTCAATAGATTAGATAGTATTTTGGCGACTTACGTGGTTCTTGGCTCGATAGGCCGAGGAAATCCGATCTGTTCATGATGGGGGACTCAGGCAAGAGGTATTTCAGATGGCATTGTCTTGTAGAGCTCTGCGACTAGCCGTCACTTTAATTTTGGGTTCTTGAAGAACGATACTCCACTGCCTGGGATTTGGGAGGTAAGTAATGATGAAGCAGTTGGTGGAGGTTGAATTAGCGTTGGTGGAGCCGATCATCGGCCCTTTTTTTAAAAAACCCGGATTGATCTCCCTTGCAGCGTCTGCCTCCATGGTTAGAAAACCCGGAAGATAGTCCAATGGATCTCATCTTCTCTGCTGTCAATTGCCTTTATTCCTTAATCCCATTGCTCATTTTCTTTTGTATTCATCTTCGTTCTAAACAACCAGCTTCCCCTAAAGGATGTCGCCGCCTCGGTCTCTCCGCAGACCGCAGCAATATTCAAGATGAATATGATCCCAAATACAGCCAGGGTGTACCCAAATCCCAACCCGACGCTGAGGAGCGTCCCGCCTGGCATATCAAGGCTCTATTCACGTATCCGATCAAAAGCTGCACCGGCGTCGAGTTAGATGTTGCCGATGTTGTCCCCACCGGACTGCAATACGACCGACAATTCTGCTTCGCCGAGTACATGACACCCCAGCCCGGGTCTACTGGCAGTTCAGCGCCGGCAAAACCGCACTGGACGGCGCGCACAATGCGCGAAGGCCCCTTCTGCCGCTTAGCGCTGATTCGCCCCGAGATTTGGGTCCCAGACCCGACAGCTCACGACTACCATGCGGAACTCGAGGAGGTGAGATCGCAAGGCGTGTTGATCATCAAGTACCCACGTCCATCTAGCAGCGGATTCCTCTTCTACCTCAGGAAACTGGCCATCTTTCTCGACATTATCCCATCTCAACTCTCTTTCCGTGTCCCGTTATACCCCCCTGCATCCTGCCTGAATACGTATCCTTCCACCCCGGTCAAAGTCTGGAAGGATGCCCCATTTGCCTTCGACTACGCGCAACATGTCCCTTCTTCCCTTCACGATTTTCTGTGTCCATCAGATCCATCTTCCCCTCCCCGCGGCCCGGTCACTCTCTTTCGAGTCGATCCGTCCCACCACAGAGAAATCTTTCGCTGCGCGCCACGCAAAGAGGAGCTAGGCTTCCAGACCGTTACCGGCTTCGCAGACGCCTACCCACTGCATCTATTGAATTTGGCGAGCGTGCAAGACGTGGCAACCAGGTGCGCGGAGTCGATCCCGCGGCTCTCGATCCGCCGATTTCGAGCGAACATTATCACCCAAGGCCCGGAGTCGTACGCGGAAGATGAGTGGAAGCGCATCTTGATATCACCGAGATCATCAAATATCATCTCAAAATCTCACGATCAATCACAAATCTCAAATCGAAACGCCGAGGGTCCGTGCGCGGGCGTAGAGATCCACACGGTCTGCCGTACCATGCGTTGTAAGCTTCCTAATGTCGACCCGGACACCGGCATTCGACATCGCAATGAACCCGATCGCACGCTCAAGTCCTATCGTTGCATTGATCCCGGTGATTATACGAATGCGGCGCTGGGTATGCAGCTTGTTCCGGCTGTTCAAGGTGAGTTTTACGTTTTCTTCCTGTTAAGATTTCCTGTTCTTTGCACAGTTACGATTGAATTCTGGTTTTATGAACTGAGCTGATTGATTTCCATTATAGAATTCACCCTCTCAGTTGGGGACACCGTGTCTGTCCTGGAAACGGGAGAGCATTTCTATATCAAGATGTTAGCGCCGGGGGAGAAGGTCGAGGGGGTCTAATTGCCTGCTGAATTCACATAGAGTCATGATATGGGTGTATTGGGGATATTGTGGAATAATTTTTATATTAATAGACATGGCGGTATAGATATAGACAATGCTTGTTCAATATAATTTCCATCTATTGCACTGATCCTCAACTCAGCCTTGTGCTGTAAGTCACAGAAATAGCGGTAGTCTACTCCAATACTTCAAGTCAGTCACTTACTTTTTAACAGAATTTATTTACCCCCCAAAAAAGAAAGGAAACCAACCTTACCGATCCTCAACTGCCCCATCACTAGGATACTCCCGCGGCCTCGGAATATTCCAAATGGGGAATGGAAGTGCCAACCCCACACCCCCTCCGATTGGGGATTCCCATAAGGGGAAACAGAATCTAAATATGCGCACGGAGACGGCGTTATTTCCGGGGTAAAAAGGTCCTATAATGCAAAGTGCAGTCTTTCCAATCCTACTAGAAAATTTCAATCTTCGTTGAAATCTCGCATATACCCTTAATTATCCAGCACTCACCTTTCTTTTAATCATGAACAATTACCAGCGGGAAAACAACAAAACTTATCAAACATTGAAAGATGCTGAGAACGGAGGATACGGCGTCCTGGCCGCCATAGCGTAAGAAATACGTATCCTCTCTTTTGCTATTTGCGAGGCCATGCTTCAGTACGCGGCAAACATTTCTGTTCCCGAAGCACCCAAAAGGAGACTAAATCATTGTTCATCTAAAGGTATAATATCGAACATGTCCTGGGATTCATTCGTGCTGCGGAGTATAAATGCTCACCGTTAATTATACAGCTCTTCCCTTGGGCCGTCATATTCACGAATGGCCGCCTTGTCCATTTTGCGGCTGCTTTGGCACAAGAAGCCTCCGTTCCCATCGCAATTCACCTGGATCACTGCCAAGACGAGTCTCTCATTAGGTACGCTGCAACCAATCTACCCTTCGACAATATAATGGTGGACATGAGCCATTGTTCGAAAGAGGAGAACCTTCGAAAAACGGCGGAGCTCGTACAGTTCTGCCATGCCCATCACAAGTCCACAGAGACGGAACCTGGGCGAATCGAGGGCGGAGAAGATGGTATCAGCGATACCGCGGATCTGGGGCCTCTTATGACTACGAGTGAGGAAATGAAGGCGTTTGTTGAAACAGGTGTTGACTTTGTAGCACCCTCGTTTGGAAATGTTCATGGTGAGTTGGAGCGCGAGGCATTCAGCTTGATTGGGAACGGTTGGACGATGCTCGAAGTATTGCGGCGGGAAATGATGTCAGAATTGTTTCGCATGGTGTCAATGATTTTGATACTGATCTCATGAGGCGGATTATTTCGAGGTGTGTGACGAAGGTCGATGTGAATAAAGATGTTCTGAAGGGTTACTATAGATACATTGAAGAGAATGTGGGAAGGATACCGTTTACCACGCTGATGGAAAATGGTATGGAGGAAGTGAGAAAGGGATTGGAAATCTGGATGGATATGTGCATGAGTACAGGAAAAGCTCCTGATCAAAGTTGATGGCTTCTCAGCGAGGGTTAAAGATAGCCTTAAGTGAGCCTGGTTAAATCACAGAAATCTATTGTGTTTGCTTGCGACAAATTTCTTGTTACAATGAGGCAACGGTAATTGTACTATTTGAATCAGTTCGTAATCACATTGATTGAACACTCAATACACTCAAGCCAATATTCGACCGCAAGCCAAAGACCCATTCAAAGCCGACAGCCAAGCAAAGCACCATCTTCGCACCAGTTCATGAGAGAGCTCCATTTAGTCCAGTGTAGAGGTTGTAGCCAAAGTCGATACTAGGGTCATTAAAGCGCGCCTTTCCATCCATCGTGGCAATTTTTGCCAGGTCGGCTTCTGCAAGCTCGAAGTCTGCCTGCAGGTTTTCCTCAATCTGCCACTTGATGGCACTCTTAGGAATGACCGAACGGCCCTGCGTAACGGCCCACGCAAGAGAGACCTGGATAGGTGTCTTGCCATATTTAGTTGCGATTTCAGCCAAGGTGAGATGGTCAATGAGTCTAGTCATCTGGGCAATTTCCTTCCCCCAAGATACTTCACGATAGAAATTGTTGAGGTTTCCGCAAGGACTGAATTGAATGATGTGGATTCCACGCGCCTTGTGCCACTCGACAAATTCTGACTGCTGCAAGTACGGATGCAGCTCCATTTGATGCACTGCCGGTATCTTAAACAATTTTCAGTGCCTCCGTTATCTCAAGATCGGGGAGATGGGATAGCTTACCACAGTGCCCTCATTGATAATGGTCTCAAGCTCCCTTTGGCTGAAATTAGACACGCCAATAGCTCTCACTTTCCCCATGTCGATAAAGGTGTAGGATCTGAGAGCATCTTCTTGTCTGGGCCGATCGGAAGAAAATCTGGACCACGTTTGAAAGCACATGGGTAGTGCATAAGATAGAGATCAACGTAATCAACGCCCAAATCGGCAAGTGATGCATCCAAAGCCAACTCAACATCATCCGGATGGTGGGCGTTGCACCACAGTTTTGTGGTAACGAAGATTTCCTCTCGCGGTATACCGCTTCGAGCAATGCCTTTACCAGCTTGACGTTCGGTTTCGTAGCTAACCTCAAAAAGTTAACGACACGTCTATGTCGTGATGTGCAAAGAACAGCGAAATGATCGAGTCATTATGAATTGGAAATATACTTATGTACAGTGTCAATATGACGGTACCCTACTTTAAGAGCTGTATGCACAGATAGTTCTTGCTCATCGGGGTCTTGGAAAGTACCCAAACCAATAGCAGGGATGGCAGATCTGGTATTCAGGACGTGATACTTTCCGGCATAATTTGGAAGGGTTTTGATACCCGACGATTTCGCTGTCAGTGATATCGTAACGTATCTGGATATATCCTCTGGAAATTAATTGTCCTGTGAAAGAAGATCGGAGGCGAGGAAGAGGGGAAACGAGGTCTGGTAGAATCCCCGGTTGGAATTTAAACACCTTAATAGGTAATTCCGAGTCCAGCGTCTTGCCCGTACATTCAATGCTAACTCCCTGTGCGGAGGATCAGTGTTCCAGGGAGACCCGATTCGGCTCCTCCTGCATACACTTTATCGGGAGACTGGAGAGTCGATTTGGAGAAATCAATTGCCAGATCGGGCGATCCGTCGTTCAGCTGCGTCAATGATGAATGGCTTCGGAAATAAGAGGACTTGATTTTGCGGGGTAGTTTGTATTCCCAATACCCCACGCCCGTATCTAAAAGAGTCCTCGCTATTACTGATATTTCTTCTAACCGAGCATCGAAATTAAATGTGTTTATAGTCTAATCAGATATTCAGGGTATAGAGAGACCACAAATGTCAGCATGCGCAGGAAAAGGCTAATATTCCTTATGCTGGTGAATGAATCAGAAGTTCATTCTTCAGATTGTAGCAGACATTAGGGTTATCTAGACCATGCAATAAGCTAGTATAAATCTGCCTTCCTAACATGCCGTCTGGAGTCTCTTGAATCAAGGATCACTGACCCATCCGCCATCAACGATATATGTGCTTCCTGTCACGCCGCTTGCTTCATCACTGCCTAGGAAAACGATCACCCCTTTGCAACATCCTCGGGAACAAGATCACGTTGCAAACTTTGATTCTGGAAAACCTCAGCACGATATTCGGGCGTCATAACGTCTGTCTTTTGCCTCTCTGTCAAAATAGCACTAGGCATAACACTGTTGATTCGGATATTGGCGGCTCCAACTTCTTTGCTTTGAACTCGTGTAAGACCATGATTGCGCCTTGCAAGCGCCATATACCGGTTGACCAGCGGCTGGTATACGCCAGGTGATGGATCCAAGATTCACGATGCTACCAGCCCCAACGCGCTTCATCCCCGGGATCACAGCTTGAGAAAGAAAGAAGACATGTCTCAAGTTGGTATTAACACTGAAATCCCAGGCGCCTGGCGTAACATTCTCCGTGTTCAGTCTTGCTCCGCTGCCTGTTGCCGCTGCGTTGTTGACCAGTATGTGTACTGGTCCATGTTCTTCCAATATCCTGGCTGCAGTTGCTTGCAACTCGGGAAGATTTGACAAGTCACAGAAGTGAAAGATCGGAGCCTTGATCGTAGGCTTTTTCGCGGTCACATTGCTGATGGTTTTCCGTGCTGCTTCTTCGGAAATGTCCAAGAAAATGACTTGGCTACCTTGTAATGCAAAGAGCTCAACGGTGGCGTCACCGATTCCTTCCGCGCCGCCGGAGATTAAGACTGTCTTGCCCTGCAGGCTAGGGTAGATTGCAGTTGCTGTCATCGTGACTCTGATGAGGAGCGTAGTTGTACTGTAGTAGTGGGGAAATCGGCATAGTGGCTGGAAGACACCCTATTTGAAGTGGGGCTGGGCAACCTTCCGAATTCGTATAAATCCGAGATGGGTTGATTTCCTCGTACGGCAGTTTCCGAGTGGAGCAGTCTGCACTCCATCTCCGATTTGCTGGTTCCAAGTATACTACAAGCAGTTATTCATGCACATACAAAACATGGCAGCTTTCTTTCGAGAGATATCGTGCTGTATTCCATGTGACAAGAGACATCTCAATTGTTTTCTTCCTTTATCAATCACCATGAACACCACTCGACACGAGCTATCTGCTCCGCCACTGCAGGAAATTGCTCAAGTATTGTCATCAGCTATCCCTGAAAATTATGCCTCATCCTCAGCAACAGTTGTCGATTGTCCCGATCTTCGCCAACCACCCTTCAGCCAATATGATCGTTTTCAACTGAATGAAGGTCTTAATTCAACTAACTACACGAAAAAGAAGCCGATATTTATGCAATTTGGGAGGCTTCCTAATCGTCAAAACAAGCGACATATCACGATAATACTGTCCCGAAAAATGCCGTATAAATGCAATAAAACTGCAATAAAACACAATGACAATGCAATATTTATGCAATGAATCAATCGGCCAAGAAAGGCGATGATATAAGCGGATTAGTCATCTCACGCGGCCACAATGGAAAGGGGCACATGCCGTCAAATGGACATCACATGACCAGCTTGGCGGCACCCGACTTTTTCCAAGGGGCGGCTGACCTGTAACCTGACTAAATAATAAAACTAACGAGTTTACATTGCCCCTGACTTCCATGAATTGATCCCAAAAATACTTAACCCTGGTTTTTCAACACCTTTCAGCATCATTATAAAGGTAGCTTTGCACATAGTTATATGAAATAGTTTGTCTTAGAAGGACTGAGATGGATGTTTCAAACGTAAGTCGGGCGATTCTCATCCCTTCACGCAAAACCCAGACACCTTCGCAGCCAGCAAAAGGAGAAGGCTCAACCCCCGAATGTTTTCCTCTCGATGGCTGCGATATTTCACAGATTTCTAATGAAACTCTGACCACATTGTTCGATACCGCGCCAGCCCTCCATTCCTATGAAGGGACACGTATTGTGCGCCTATCCCAGACATTGATTCTCAAAGGCGGGACCAGTACTCGACCATGCGAGTACAACATCCTCAAGCTTGTCAGTGAAGCAGGGGAGCGAGAGGAATCGAAAGCCATTCCGGTACCCAAAGTACTCCGAGTTTTCAACATTGAATCAGATGTCGTGTTTGGTTGCAAATGCCTGATCCTCATGGATTTTGTTGATGGCAGGTCAATCGAACAGTGTTGGGCCGATCTGAGTCATACTGAACGGGTAGACGTTGTTTCTCAAGTTGCTTCCATAATAACCGTTCTGCGGTCTATTCCTCTGTCTCCGCGACAGCAGCAACAACCAGGCCCAGTGGGCTGTAAATGCTGTGTGGCTCGGGGATATTGGTTTACTGATATAGGAGCCGGCCCATTTAATTCGAAAGAGCACCTAGAATCTTGGTTTAACTGCCGACTTGAAATATCCCAAAAGTTTCACCAGGCACCCGATACCGTCCCACCGTTTCACTTTGACAAACTAGTTCTTGCTCACTTGGATATCGCGCCCCGTAACTTGATCCTGGATTCTGATGGCAAAGTTTGGCTGATTGACTGGGGTGATGCTGGGATATACCCTGATGGATTTGAGGTTGCATCGCTCAAAGCACGCACGTTCGAAGCGCCAGAGTACACTGATATGTTACTTGAAATGCTTTCCAAAATAATTCCAATGCATGACGAGCTACAGCAGCAATTGAAGTGGATTACGTTTGCTTTAACCACTGGTCAATGGATAGGGAGAGAGGAGCTAGACTTTGGCGTGTTATGATGAAGTATGTTCGAGGCTGACATGTCTTTAGTATCCGCACCTGCAAGATTATGAGCTCTTTTGTCTATTCAGAAAGTCAGATCTTCGTTCATTCGTCTACTGAACATTGAGAATCGTATATTTCTACATATTACTTTCCAAGCGCCCGTCTACCACGTACATATTTCTCACAGGCTAGGCGGTACAAAGAAGCGTTGTCGACCGACACTTAGGACAAGTCAGCCGCCATAATAACTGACCCTAAGCAATTGCTATGTTTGGAATAATAAATAGTATTGAAAAGAAAAAGTAGTATCCTCAAAAAAAATAGGTTGTTAATTGAACACGCTGTAAAAAGTGGCCTATGATTTGCCGAGACCATGGCCGTCCTATATACTACCACGTAAAACAACCCATCCAAGCTGCTCCATGTATTCTCTTGTTGGAGAGTCCAAAGATCCGCTGCAAACCCGGAAAACGATATTATCCAAAGAAGTTATGCTTCTGAACTCCGAATTAATTTGGGACAATATTTTTTGAACTGAGCGTGCATTGTTCTGGGATTCCTCGGTCAGAAGGCTGGCATTCTGGCCATAAATGAAAGTCTCCAGAGTCTTGAGTCCGGTGCATTGTTCTTGAAGTTGGTGCAAGTTTTGTAAGCTATCCTCCCTGATCCTGAGTTCTCCCGATTGGCCTTCAACCCGCTCCATTGCCGGGAGGTTCGTGCAATCATACCCAGATTTGAGTTTTACAGCAGTCTGTACGACCCTCTCAGTATCACCTGTCATAAGAATTTACTCTGGGGACCCTAAAACAGTCGAGATTAGCATTTGTTGCTTAAAACACATTTTAATGTCTTGTAAAACAGGCAAGTCATGCAAGCGAGGATGAAAGCCCTATTGATGTGTATTTCTACCAAGTGGGGTAGGCTACGGGCATAGGTCTATCGATGAACAGCTCGGTCCTGTGTATGGTAACATTAGATTTGAATGGAATCAATACATATGTGTCCGATGAAGCCATACTTCTACCTATCCAATGCTTGTCCCGGATTTATCTTACCTAGTCCGACGCGCCTGTTCGCCTTGGCCTGGCCATTCCCTGCTCAATACAACCAGCCTCCTAACCTGGTTCTGAGACGAGATAATGCAAAATTCGTCTCTTCGAATTATCCAAGCTGATTTCAGTGCTGACAGCAGCCGGCAGAATATTCTCAGGGGTGGTAGAAAACGTTCAAAGCGGGCCGAAAATGCCGCGAGCTGAAATTGAGGTGTGACGGGCGCAACGACGGCGCTGATTCTCGCTGCAGAAGATGCTCTGCAAACAATCTCGAGTGTGTTTTTGATGTTTCTGGCTCTAGAGGTAAACGCTCGGGGGGAGCTGCTTACGATGACCGGTCAAAAAGGCGAAGATATCCTAGTTACTACCGTGCAGGCTGTGGCGACGGAAGAGGCTGAACCGTGGGTAGCAGACACAGTTGAGAGAATCACTCTCAGGACCAGTCTGAAAATCATATTTTGGAATTTGGACATTCATTCTTACATCGTCGACCTGATGGCATCTCACGAGGGCAAAATATACGCTATCACCGGCGGCGCATCCGGCATAGGCCTGGAGACAGCCAAATTGCTGCTACAGCGCGGAGCTTCTGTATCAATCTGCGACATCCAAGAATCTGCCCTAGAGCATTTTGCAGCACAATTAAATGCCCCCGAAGAGTGCTGGTTTGCGCAAGAAGTGGACGTCCGGAAGCGCCAGGATGTCGAGACGTGGATTGGCCACACGATCAACAAATTCGGTCGACTCGATGGCGCTGCAAACCCCGCCGGAGTGATTCCACGATCTCACAATATCGCCTACATGGTGGACCAAGACGACTCGGAATGGGATTTTGTCTTCGATGTGAATGTGAAAGGGACGATGAACTGCATGAATTTTGCCTCATCTCCAGAAGGGTGGGAGTGTCGTTAACGCTGGGAGCGGCCTCAGTTTAAAAGGGCGTGGTCAAGCAGCGGCATATGCGGCCTCTAAACACGCGGTTGTTGGCTTGACGAGCTCTGCGGCGAAGGAAGTGGGCGAGAAAGGCATTCGGATCAATCGTGTGGCTCCGTAAGTCAATGTTCAATGTGTTTCGCATGATTCGCTGTACATACCTTACTAAGGCTAGCTATGGGCATATAGGGGATATATTCTCACTCCGATGATGACCAGAGCTCAAGCGAACCAAAGTGGTCCGCCTCGAGAGGACCCATCTGGTACTGCGCTCAATCGATTCGGCGAGGCAATGGAAGTCGCTCAACTGAATGCTTTCCTACTTAGTGACGAAGCCAGTTTCACCACTGGGGCGACCTTGTGCGTTGATGGTGGGTGGAATTGTTGATCGGGGAATCTGATTCATTTAGCTATTACACTCCTCGAATTCTAACTTCGATCTACTCTTCTTCCCTCAATAAGAAACCCCAAAGTATAATTACGGTCGACCTGTTGAATATTTCTCCAGAGTAATGGCCTCGTTCCTTATCTATAATCCAAACAAATGAGAAAACACTCACGCAATGGACATTTTCATTCCACCATTAGCGCAAATAACACTCCCAGTTGTCCACCTCCCTCAACAGAGCAGAACATATCAATCGTGCCCGCAATATCACACGTGAAAGCTGGCCGCCTATTGCTTCCTATTCTCCCTAACGATCCGGTTAAACCTGTCCGCGTCTGACCCCGCCATAGCCAGCACATTTGCCTCGCCATTATAGCTTGCCAAAGGGGCCGCGTCAACATAGGGCTGATTGATGTCCCAAAAGGTCTGTCCTGCCTTTTCGTACATACCTCCCCATGCGGGACCAGGGTTGACGGTATTGACAGTGGCACGCTCGGCCAGTTCACAACTCCATTACACGAGTCATCGCTTCCACGGCGGCTTTGCTACCGGCGTAAACTGACTGGCCCTGGTACCCGATGGAGGAGGAAACGCTCGAGACGGTCACGATGCGACCTGAACGGTCTTTCGGGAGGTATGGGGCAACGGCTTTTGTGAGAAGCAATGGGGCCAGGACATTCGCTTTGTACACACGGTCGAACTCAGTTGGATCAATAGGGCCGTGCTGTTCATCGTTCATGTGTTGGTTTGAGGAAATGCCGGCATTGTTGATCAGAATGTCAACCTGGAAGACTTGGTCGGGTGTGTAGCTGCCAAACAGGTTCTTTGCCGCTTGCAGGATTAAGTCTGAGCCCTTTTTAGGATCTGCGAGGTCGGCCTGTACCGAGGTGCAACAGATCTTGTGTGTAGAAGCAGGTTCTTCGCATAGCCGCGCCGTTGGTAGAGTTGATGAATCTGAAGTAAAGACCAAAAGTAGATTGCACCCTTTCGTAACAAGTCTGTGTGCTACAGCAACGCCGATGCCTAGCTTGCGCTAAAATGAGTCTAGAAATTGTTAAGACAACCGAAATCGCTTAGGTTTTCTTACCTCTAGATCCCCCAGTCACGATACCTAGCTTTGATTCATATGGGCGAGAGAACGACATGCTGAACAGTGTTGGATAAAATGAAAGTGGTGCGTGGTTTTGAGATAGCAAACTGCACTCGACTGAGCAAGATGTTCAAAGGACCAAGATCATCATCCACTTCTGAACATCTAGTAATTATCTGAGCCAAGCTCCGGTCTTAGTCTACACAGTATGAAATCCCATGGTTGTCTCCATTGAAAGCATCGATCGGAAACTTCCGTTTCGGGTAAAGTGCACAGATAGACCCAATCAACGGCACAATATTCGACTACAAAATACGTTTAGAACCAAAACTAACCATTTGGAACTGACACAGCGATAGTCAAAGCAAAGGATACGTACATGCAAACAGCTTCGATGTTTGAAAACCCGAAACCCATGAGAGCATTCCAATCATTGGCACCCACCTTATCCTCCTCCAGTAAGCGCGCACACAGCGCACCGCCGAATTTCAGCTGATCATACGTTCCTGACTATGAAAATCCCGACCCCATCCGACGAAGATGCACCGCAACATCAGCCGCCAAAAGTCTATGAAATGCCGAGGTTGGATGAAAGTCATTCCACCAGACACACCCTTCACCCATGCAGCTATTGTCCAGGAACCCGTATTCTGCAGGATGATCGAGGACTTCATTCATGAAGGACCATGAATCGTAAACGGTCACAGCAGACTGCACACGGTCACTCATTAGACTGTGAAAGGGGGGAAAGGGACACTTACGTCACGATGTCCCATACGCCAATCCAAGACAGCCCTCTGCAGCTGACAATTGAGTTCCAGAACAGACTCTTGGTGCGTGTCCCTTCTGCACGCGTCAAACCGCACAATCTTTGGTGTCCTGGTTGTCGGTGGCACGTTTATGAGTAAGAAACGACGAGCTCCGCATCCATGCAGCTGCTCTAGTAGGTCAATGTAACTTCGCATGATGCGGGATATTGTGCGCGAGGTATCAGTACGCATATAGCTGAGCTCAATGCTGGTCAAGACAAACAAATATTCCAGTCAGCAAGCGTTTGCCTTCCAATTACTCCTTCACTCCACTTCAAAGTCAACTGACTTACTCATTGATTCCAATCCAGATTGCAAACAGGGCCGTATCTGACTTCCATCCCGGGCTCGATTCTAACAACGAAGAACAGTAATGATCGCCGAAATTGCGAGAAACCTGATCAACTAGGTCTATTGGTTCGCCGTCCAAGATTGAATTGTCCACTGTGGCGCCGAAAACCGCAAGGTTGTAGTTCAGCACCACGGTGTCGTTATAGACTGTTGTTAGGTATCCCGCCCAGTTGATGCCGCCAGCTGTGGTGCCTTGGCCTGTGTGTGGAAGCCTGTTCAGCAGTGGACAGATATAGGGTTCTTTTGGCTCTTTACCGATATCCGGATTGCCCATTGGATTGTCCAGTGCGGGCTGGGAGCCGGAAGTGTCGAATTTCGTCGATGTGTATGAATCGCCACTAATGCGTTGGACAAGGTTAGATGGGTATCTGGGACACTGGGAATGTGACTGTATCGTACAAGGTGAAAAGGGTGTGATACGAGCCCTGCAGCTGCTGCGGGCCGAGAACCGCCATGCTGGGGACAAGGAGTCGATCGATTCTCATCTTGTGGAAAGTATGAGGATTTGACGATAGGGAGACTTATTTCTTAGTAGGAAAGGAATCATCATGTCGTAGGACTCTGAATGATTATATATTAGTCGTCATCAGATACCGGCCAGTAATGAGTAGTTAATCGAGCAGCTGAGAGGGAATCGCCATTTGATTGACTGCCTCGAGGCCATGTGGTCGTGGAAGGTCATCGATTGGTGTCGATAGAGTCAGATCGAAAGTATAAAACTCAAAGAGCAAACATTCAGCTCACAATTGTTGCACAAACCAAAGTCATAGCATGACCATCCAGCTCATATCAGTCGAGTTTGAATACAGTTTGGGAACTCGAGGGCTTGGTTACACTGACACGAGGAAATCCCATCCAGCTCCCCTTATCATTGACATCAGCCTTCCACTCATGAAGGGCACCGCATCGGAATAGAATCTCTTTTTGAACATAGAGATCATGTATGAGATCTGCATCAAGATATCTGCGTGTTGGTTGACCAGTAATCAGTAATACTTGGGAATGGTGATCAAACTATCAGAACAGCCTGCTCCCCCTTGAAGAACGCCATTCTATGTCATAATGCAGGTCAAGCTGTGATGTCGTACGACCCAAACACTGCACCCAGCGTCAGCTTCCCTTGAGTTTGGTGATCATCATCGGGTCTGGATTCCGACCACTTATAAAAACCTGAAGTCTTCAGGACATGAGTGTCATGTCCAGCCCTATCAATTCCATTCATTGTTACTTGCAACCATGTCTACCGAGAACAAGCAACCCCAGGTCATCGCCATTGCAGGAGGAGCCGGCAATCTCGGTCGATACCTCGTGGAGGAATTGTTAAAGGATGATCGGTTCACCGTCGTCGTGTTGACTCGACAGGTATGCACATCCCACCTCTTTATCTCTCACATAGCCATATAGCCCTAATATCTATCTACCTATCTACCTACTAACAACGATCAGGACCCTCCCACCCCAACCTCCCCCAACCTGACCTACCACCAAACCGACTACACCCTCCCCTCCCTAACCACCATCCTCAGCACCACCAACGCCACAACCCTCATCTCCACCCTCAACCCCCCAGAACACCTCTACCTCCCCCTCCACACAGCCCTCCTCTCCGCCTGCCTCGCCTCCCCGCTCTGCAAACGCCTCATCCCCTCCGACTGGGCCGGCAACGTCGAAGACCACCCTCTCAGTCCCCGCGCGTACGGCCGCACCCGCGCCCCCTTCCGCGAGATTCTAGCCCAGACGCCCGGCATCACGTACACGAGCTTTAATCTGGGGTGGTTTATGGATTATTTTCTGCCGCCCGAGTACTCGTATATGGGGTTTTTGGAGGATGAGTTTCCGGTTGATCCGAGGGGGGAGAAATGGTGTTATGTGGTGAGGGGGAGTGGGGAGGAAGAGCAGTGTTGGACGCGGGCGAGGGATGTGGCTAGGGGGGTGGTGAGGTTGTTGGGGGTGGACGAGTGGGTGAGTTCTCCTATTTCTTTTCTGGTGTTGTGGACGGGTGTTTTGATGAACTGGTACTTACATTCATGGGTCTTGGTTTGTTAGGAACCTGTCACATATATTACTGGCCAGCGAGGTACATTTAATGAGATGGTGAAGATTCTAGAACGGTTCTATGGTATGTCTTTCTTCTTCCCGTTATACTTACTCAAGACTGATCAAACAGGCCGCCCCTTCACGACTACCCACCGCTCTCTTGAAGACATCAACCAATCGCTTGCGAACCCAAGCACCAAGCATGAGTTGGCGATCGCCGAGATCGAAGAATGGGGCGTCAGTGGCGCCACGGCGTGTCCTGCGGAGAAGACCCGGAGGCAGCAGAAGGAGTACTTCAAGGGGTTGGGGTTCTTGTCGCTGGAGGGGATGTTGATTAAAGCGATGGAGGAGGGGAAGATTTAACTTATTAGCTTGCGATGTATGTAGGTGTGATGCCTCAAGTGGGATATGTAGTTGGATAGCGAGATGATTAGGTGGCAGATTAACGACATGGTCTAAAGATATGTATGTCAAGTATGTCAGGTTCAAATTCACCGGGGTATCCTATCCTATCCTATCCATCAATTACCCATTATGTCATTTAGATATAAGTAAACATTTCATAACCAGACTATATAGATATACGCTCGATTACATACTTCGCGACGCCTCCGACTGATCGGCTTTCGTATGCGACTCGGGAACCCCCTTCGACTCCTCAGGGACTTCAGGGACGTCACCGCTCGAATCCATCACGGCCGCCTCTTCCTCCGGGTCCTCCGGGATCAGCAGGTTCAGTATCAACCCCAACACGGCGGTCACGGCGAACCCGTTCGTCATGACAAGGATCACGGCGTTGAGCAGGCCCTGCAGGGCGTGGTTGTCGCCGCTGTACGTGAAGAAGTATTGGAACCACTCGGGTAACAGGGTAGCTGCCATACCAACGGCGAAGGAGGCCGTCAGAATGAATCGGTTCCGGCGGGTGAACGGCACGGTGGAGATGATGCGGATGCCGGAGACGGCGACGGACGAGAAGAGAAAGGTGGTCATGCCGCCGAGGACGGAGCTGGGGATGGCCACGAGCGCGGCGGCGAATTTGGCGAAGATGCCCATGACGACGAGGAAGAAGCAGCAGGCGTAGCCGGCCTTGCGGTTGGCGCATTTGGTCAGCGCGATGACGCCGTTGTTCTGTGCGAACACGGACATGGGCGTGATGGTGCAGAGGCCGGCCAGGAGGCAGGTGAAGCCGTTGCCGAGCACGCCGCCCTGGATGCGGGAGTCGAAGGTGGCGCCTTCGACCTCGAGCTGTGAGACGTCGCACGTCGCCGTGATGTCGCCGATGGATTCCATCATGATCACGATGTAGACGGCCAGTAGGGGCAGGATGAGAGGCGGGTATAGGACGAGGGGGAAGGTTCGCACCCAGATGAAGGAGACGACGGGAGCCGCGTCGATGCTGGAGCGGTCGAAGTAGCCGCACGCCGCTGCCACGATGCATCCAACCAACAGACCGATGACGACAGCGCATGATTTCATGATGGGCGAGCCGAAGCGCTCGCAGAGGATGATAGTCAAGAAGACCAGGAAACCGAGGCCGATGAACTCGGCGCTGCCCCAGGGGAGGGCGTGCGGTGCATCTGCGCTGGGACATAAGGCTCGGGCGGAGGGATCGCTGCCGCAGCTGCCAGAGCCACCAGCCCAATCCTTCATGCCGCTCTCGATGAGACTGACTCCGATCAGCAAGACCGTCGGGCCCGTCACCAGCGGGGGGAAGATCTTCTTGAGCACTCGGGCACTCATGAACGACAGCCCTATTTCCAGCAGGGAGCACAGACACGACGTGCCCAGCAGGGCTCCGTAGCCTTTGGGACAGGCCAAGCGGTTGCCCTGGTCATCAACGGGGCAATACCCAGAATTATACATCTGATTGAAGGTGCCCGTCGCGACCGTGATGGTGGCAAACGAGGTACCCACCACCGAGATCAAACCGGTGCCGACATAGTATCGCGTTTTGTAGATGTGGAAACGAGTCATTTGAACGGCGGACAGCAGGCCGGAGACGATCAGAGATGTCGAGACCAGATATTGATAGTCGTCACCGGAGAAGTTGGCACCGCCGGAGCCACCCAAGAGAATCGGAGGGGAGATAACTAAACGGTTCGCATTAGTTTGATTCAAGAAGATCTGGCTGAGCATAGTCACCTCCAGCCAACATTGCCAAAGCATGCTGCAGACCAAGGATAAAAGCCAACAACACGGGCACGCGATCTTCTAGGCCGAAAAAGGGCGCCGTCCGTCTGGTTTTGCTGAGGAAGGGAATCTGCGGCGTAAACAGATAGGCGTAGTCATAGTCTCCAATCAAGCCCTCTCTATTGACATCGAGTTAGATCCCCTGCGGCAGTTCAACGACGCATCCGGCTAAAATTTTACCTGGTAGTGAAAGTCTTGGTGATTCTTCGAAGGCGATCGGCCAGTGTCCGCCGGGGGCGGAGGTCCGGGCCGATCTGATCAGGGCCATCCATACTGGCAGGAGAGATGATGGTAAATCGAAGAAGTAGAGAAAAAAGAAAAGGAGGGGTCGAAACAGTTTCGAGCAGAACCCCTCACGGCGGTCGACGGATCTCCAACCCGTGGCAAACCCGGGTTACGATGACGATCAGGCCGACGAATGGAATCCAACTGAAAGGGATACAATGCGGGGAAGTTTAACCCCCCGATGTGGGAGGAGTCGAGGCGATATATAAACGACAGTGACATTCGCGAAGATCGGAGAGGATAGGAGATGGGGAAAGTGATTATCAGCGACAATCTGGATGGAGGAATCCATCGAATAATACCCAAATTTTCATTTTGCGATTGTGTTTGTGGTTATCTCTCGAGCTTCGCGAATTTCCAAAGGCCGCCGAAGGAACAAGCTAACGGTAGAGGCAACGGTGATAGGCCGACTCTAGAACTCTAGACTCTGGAGCCAATATCTAGAGCTCCTTTGACCCCTGTCCTGCGGTGGAGCCAGCGATAAGAAGGCTTGCTGACAGTCGCCGCTCAGGTCACCGACACCGGCGGACACTTATCAACGGCCAAGGCGGGTACCGCCGAAGTCCCGACGGAGAAAGGGTGTTGATAGCAAGGAGCCGAAGCGAAGCATGGCTGAGAAGGACAAGACGGAGACGAACTCATCCCGGAAGCTGGGCGTGGGAGTCTCCTTATATCAACGCGAGAGTTGGTGGTCACTTAGGAAGGAGTATGGTGTACACTAAGGGAATAGCGCCGGGGAAGGAGGATTCTGTTAGTCACGGAAACTGTTAGCTCCCTTTTTAAGTCTCCCACCTTATCTGAAGTACACATTCCCTTCAGATCAAGGGCCTTTTGATCATTGAGTATTGCATCTGTCTACCAGATGTTACCCAAGTTTCTGAAAGTATATGGACCTATGTACCTGATATTCACATTCTTGTATTAAGACCCTTTAGTAAGACTGTTTACCTTTCGTTAAAAGGTATAATAAAGAACTCGCTCCTGGGTATAAAGACGCGATTATCACAGAGAAAACGAAGTTGCAGAGAGGAGAGAGGGCAGGGAGAGCAGCTGGTACGGTAACGATATATATTTTCTCCGGCCCGAGTCCGCATATTGGCAACCGACGGCACTGGACTGTTGTTCTAACGAACATTTCCCCCGAAAGAATGATAGATTGGATCAAAGATCGCGGAGTCCTGCAATAAATCTACCGTCAGGCCTAGGCTAAGTAACTGACAGTGAAGATTCGCTGCAGATTTGTTTAAATCGAATACCAAGGCCAGTCACGGTTCTAGTGACTTATATGAATAGCACGAATTGCTCACATGTAGTTACTGCAGAACAACCGGCCAGATGACATTGCGTAGGTCGTATTTCTCGATCAAAAGACCCTGATTGACTACTGAATTGGTTCAATTGATCCATTCTCAGCAGGAGCTGGAGGGGTAGGCCAGCTGATGAACGGGGGTGTGACAATTGCATGCCCCAGATGCGTCCGGGAGATTTCTGGTGGACCAGAAATCCAATTCCTTGTATTATGCTGTAGAAAAAGAGCAAGGTGAGCAGACGAAAACTGGAAGCACATCACTTCTCATTCCCCGGGCAGCTGATGTATAAAGATATCATCCCTACCTAGACTTAATCAACAGTGTTACATTTGACAAAGTGTTCTATACACGTTCTTCATTGGTGGGTATATCAGGGCAGTTATTTTCAAACTGCTTTGGCTACGATGACAGTGATACAAGACTTCACTGAATTAGGAGGAGAGGGAAGATATCTACGGTGCCCTATGTGCTCCGTACACGTAGGGAACGGGAGCGTGGGACGGAAAGCTGGAAACCACCTAAGATCGGCCCCTGATCGCCGGCTGACAGGACACGAAGCGTCGCGAAGTTTCATGTGGATAAGCAGCACCACCTCCTTCCAGAAGCTCCGAGCTCAGGCAACAGTCGAGGTGGGGTGGCGAGTGGCAAATCCCTTGTCTCAGCCGTAGGGCTGTGTCCGAGACGGCCGGTGCAGGTCTGTTCGTTTGACCCGTTCGCGAGCTAGTCCCAGGCGCATCCGACCTTAAATCCATGCCACTTGTCTCCTTAAGGAGTAGGAGGGCCACGCACCAGCCGAACCCCAGGTTTGCCCCGGGTTGAGGTGTTGAGGGCCTGAGGCCACGGGGGGCACAGGGGATGGAATCTTATGAAAGATGAAAGAAATGCACAAAACCGGAATGTCAGGATCGTCGGCAGTCTTATCCACCCCTAACCTCTTCGGGGCGACTGAGTCAGCATTCACCCGTCCCCGTCCACCAGTCAGAGCGGAAGGTTCACTTCACCGCCTGCAGGGGCAAGGAAAACGTTGGGGATTCAACAGATAAAGGCCTGCCGCTGATTGGCGGACCATCCCCGGCCTAACCCGAAGCGGCCGGGCCTGGGCAGGGCGTCGCCATCGAGCGATTGGCCCAACAAGACGTGCCTGCTTCAACTGGAAGTGCGTCTCCTGTCGATACTCTGTCGGACCAGGTTCTCTCTTTGACACGGCCACTCCTCACGCATTTGTTGAATTCGGCGGGGATCTCGCGGTCAACCTCGGAATCAGATGATTGATGGTCTCGCCAGCCTTGTGTAACTGTGTAACTCGTAGCCGTAGCTTCAGGCAGCTGATTGCAGCTGATTATATTCATCTACTCCGTACTACTTCCCCATCCATCCGGGCTTATCCCAGCATCCTTGGCCGCGGTCCGCCTTGCAGTGCACTTCCTCCCCAACGTCATCCTGTCGGTGGACCCCCGACACTCCATCCTCTGCCAATCCCTTTTTTTCTTTCTTTTTTTTTTCATTCATATTTTTTTTCTTTCCAGGTTCTTTGCCCTTCGCCGCAGGTTCCCCACCCTTTTGCTGGTCCGGTGTTTTCTTCCTCGGATCTTCGTCCCCTGCAAATTGTTTGCCTCCCTTCCTCTTTTAAAAGTAAATCTATAACCCTTTCCTCTCCTTCCCTCCTCCCTCTCCATCCCCCCCTCCACCTCTCGATTCTCCCTCCCTGGTTCTGGTCATCACGACGAGTGACTCGTTAGACCACCTATAAATCCGGACCATCCCTTAATTCACCAGAGCTGCGAGCTCGAAGGGAATCAGAGCAACTCCTCATACCACCGGCATCATGTCTACCAAGCCGGCGGATGCCACCCGGCCTCGCGCTGCTGGTGACACCAAGAAGGTTCACATCGCCGACACCGTGATGACGCGGCAGAACTGGTATAAGCATGTCAACTGGCTGAACGTCACCTTCATCATTGGTATCCCTCTGTACGGATGTCTCCAGGCTCTCTGGGTGCCCCTGCAGATCAAGACCGCCGTCTGGGCGGTTATCTACTACTTCTTCACGGGATTGGGTATCACCGCAGGTAGGTTCTCCTCATCCATTTGGCGCTTGTGGTGTTGGATGGAAAACTGACATGCATTCCTAGGATATCATCGTCTGTGGGCTCACTGCTCGTACTCGGCTCGCCTTCCCCTGCGTATCTGGCTCGCTGCCGTCGGTGGCGGTGCCGTTGAGGGTTCCATCCGCTGGTGGGCTCGTGGCCACCGTGCCCATCACCGCTACACCGACACCGACAAGGACCCCTACTCCGTCCGCAAGGGCCTGCTCTACTCGCATCTCGGCTGGATGGTCATGAAGCAGAACCCCAAGCGTATTGGCCGGACCGATATCTCCGACCTGAACGAGGATCCCGTCGTCGTCTGGCAACACCGCAACTATATCCAGACCGTTATTGCCATGGGTCTGGTTGTCCCGATGCTGGTGGCCGGTCTGGGCTGGGGTGACTGGTGGGGCGGCTTCGTCTACGCCGGTATCCTCCGCATCTTCTTCGTCCAGCAGGCGACTTTCTGTGTCAACTCCCTGGCCCACTGGCTCGGTGACCAGCCCTTCGACGACCGCAACTCTCCCCGTGACCACGTGATCACCGCCCTTGTCACCCTGGGCGAGGGATACCACAACTTCCACCACGAGTTCCCCTCCGACTACCGTAACGCTATCGAATGGCACCAGTACGACCCTACCAAGTGGACTATCTGGATCTGGAAGCAGATGGGTCTGGCCTACGACCTCAAGCAGTTCCGTGCCAACGAGATCGAGAAGGGTCGCGTTCAGCAGCTCCAGAAGAAGATCGACCAGAAGCGTGCCCGCCTGGACTGGGGTGTTCCCCTGGACCAGCTGCCCGTTATGGAGTGGGATGACTACGTCGACCAGGCCAAGAACGGCCGTGGTCTCGTGGCCATTGCCGGCGTGGTGCACGACGTGACGGACTTCATCAAGGATCACCCCGGTGGCAAGGCCATGATCAACTCGGGTATCGGCAAGGACGCCACGGCGATGTTCAACGGCGGTATCTACTACCACTCGAACGCCGCCCACAACCTGCTCTCCACCATGCGTGTTGGTGTGATCCGCGGTGGCTGTGAGGTTGAGATCTGGAAGCGCGCTCAGAAGGAGGGTAGCACCGAGTACGTCCGTGACGCAACTGGTCAGCGCGTCGTCCGTGCCGGCGAGCAGGTCACTAAGATTCCTGAGCCTATTCCCACTGCGGATGCCGCATAGATTCGTTTATGCTGTTGATCTGCTTTCCCTCTCGTCGCTTTCTGTCCTGTCATTATCAGCACGCTGGGCGTTTGACTCTGTTTCTATGTTTTTTCATCTGTAAGGAGTTGCCGGAGTTGCGGGGGATCTCAGATTTGTGGTTTGCGTTGACCACAAGATCTATTTGTATTACATCAAAAGCTTAATGGGGGTTAAACAACCGCCAACAGAAATGACGATATGCCTCATCTTTGAATGTTTCTTCAATATGTCAACTTATAATAATCCGGATTGTACTCCGTAGAGAGGAATGGAGGTCAACGTTAGACATGCTGGAGGAGACTAGCGACGTCGCTAGCACGTCGACTAACCCGAGTGGGTCGGGAGCTGTCTCCCAGGAGTCTTGCCTTGCCTCTACTCTGTAGCCTGCACTGTCTTTCATAATTAGTCTTGGAATAAAACTACCATCTTGAATGACTATAATATCAAAGCCAATCTGGTCGCGAGAGGTTGAAGCTATTGTGGCTCTGAATAACACTACCCTAATTAGCGGGCCATCCTCGGATCATCGTCTCTTGAAGTTTTACATAATAGTTATGGGAAAAGCACTTCTGATACCTAGTTGAGCGTTGTGTACTGGTACTGTACTCCGGAGTAGACACGCACTCTGGGGTAGCAATTGGTTGTGGGTGCCTGAGATGCCTGGTTGGTGCCTGAGTAAAGGCGGCAGGCGACTAGCCCCGAGGCGGTAAGCGGGCAGTGGACTGCAGGAAGATGGTGAACTCATTCGACCAGCTTGTTGTTCACTTTTTATTGATTCTGAACAAGTCATTCTGCTTCCAATTACCCCACTTTGCCCCCTCTCTGACCCTCTGACCCCCCCGTCGTCACCATAGCTCCTCTTCCCGCCTTCCGTTCCTTATATCTACACCTCTTCGTCCTTCTCTTGGGCGTTCTCCTCGTCACCGTGGCTCCCCCTCTCCGACTCTCTACCCCCACCTTCCGACTATCCTCAGTCTTGAGCCATTTCCGTGGCTCGCGACTGACTGCCTCTGTTTCAAATCCGGCTTTGACCGACCTTCGAAGATCCCTCACCACCGCCAACATGGCTCCTGAACACCTCCGCCGCCCGCCTCAGGCCCCTCCCGTCTTCACCGCAACCGCCCAGTCCATCGTCGACGATGCCAAACGCCTCGTCGAGACCTCCCGGAAGATTCAGGATGGCGTCGTGGCCAACGTCAAGGCCGACACCGCCACTTTCTCCTCCGTCATCAAGCCCCTCGCCCAGGATGAAAATGCCATGGCCCTCGAGTCCCACATCCTCGGCTTCTACCAGGCCGTCTCGACGGAACAAGAGCTGCGCGATGCCTCGTCCAAGGCGGAGGAGCTGATGGATGAGTTCTTCATCGAGAGTGCCATGCGCGAGGACGTCTTCAAACTGGTGGATGCCGCGCTGAACAAGAACGAGACCCTGGACCCCGAGTCCCGTCGTCTGCTGGAGAAGGAACACAAGGGTTTCATCCGCAACGGGCTGGGTCTGCCCGCCGGTCCCAAGCGCGACCGCTTCAAGGAGATCAAGAAGCGTCTGTCTCAGATCAGCATTGAGTTCCAGAAGAACCTGAATGAGGAGAACGAGGGGCTCTGGTTCACCCGCGAGCAGCTGGACGGTGTGCCTGACGATGTCCTGTCCGGCCTGAAGAAGGGTGAGGGGGAGAATGAAGGCAAGCTCTGGCTGACCTTCAAGTACCCCGACCTCTTCCCGACGATGAAGTACGCCAAGAACCCCGAGACTCGCAAGACGGTGATGATCCAGAACGAGAACAAGTGCAACCAGAACGCTCCCCTCTTCCGCGAGTCGATCATTCTGCGTGACGAGGCTGCTCGTCTGCTCGGTTACCCCAATCACGCCGCGTTCCGCATCGAGGATAAGATGGCCAAGACGCCCGAGACGGTCGACACCTTCCTCGGGGACCTGCGGAAGCGTCTGACTGCCGGCGGTCAGAAGGAGATCCAGAACCTCTTGGAGATCAAGAAGAGCGACCTGGAGGCCCGTGGCGAGTCGTTTGACGGCCGCTACTACCTCTGGGATCATCGATTCTACGACCGATTGATGCTGGAGAAGGACTTCTCGCTGAACCAGCAGCAGATCGCCGAATACTTCCCTCTCCAGACGACGATCGAGGGTATGCTGAAGATCTTCGAGGAGCTTTTCGGACTGGTGTTCGTGGAGATCACCGGCGAGGACCGCGAGAAGATCGCGCCGTCCGGCAAGGGCAGCGACATTGTCTGGCACGAGGACGTGCAGATCTTCAGCGTCTGGAACGATGAAGGTGAGGGCAGCGGATTCGTGGGATACCTCTACCTGGATCTGTTCCCCCGCAGCGGCAAATACGGCCATGCCGCCAACTTCAACCTGCAGCCGGGCTTCATCGACGCCGAGGGCAACCGCCGCTACCCCGCCACGGCGCTGGTGTGCAACTTCACCAAGCCGACGCCCAAGAAGCCCAGTCTGCTGAAGCACGACGAGGTGGTGACGCTGTTCCACGAACTTGGCCACGGTATCCACGATCTCGTGGCCAAGACGATCTACTCGCGCTTCCACGGCACCAACACGGTGCGCGACTTCGTCGAGGCGCCCAGTCAGATGCTGGAGAACTGGTGCTGGACGCCGTCCCAGCTCAAGTCGCTCAGCAGGCACTACTCCAGCCTGTCGCCCGAGCACCTGGCCGGATGGCAGGAACAGGCGGGCGGCGCGGCCAAGCCCTCCGAGCAAATCCCCAACGAGGTTATCGAGAACCTCATCCGCACGAAGCACGTCAACGACGCGCTGTTCAACCTGCGCCAGCTGCATTTCGGTATTTTCGACATGACGGTGCATGAGCCGGAGAGCCACGAGTACATCAAGAAGCTACCGATCTCGGCTACCTACAACCAGCTGCGCAAGCAGATCACGCAGATGGACGGACCCGAAGTTTTGGGATTGGGTGACGAATGGGGTCACGGCGAGGCGACGTTTGGACATTTGATCGGTGGATACGATGCGGGCTACTACGGATATCTCAGGTATGCTTCCCCCCCCCCTTTTCCCCTCTCCTTTCCTTCTATATTGCTTGACTGAAATGCTAACGACCCCGCAGCTCGCAAGTTTACTCGACCGATATGTTCTACACCGTGTTCAAGTCCAACCCCATGGACCCCAAGGCCGGACGCCGGTACCGCTACCAGGTGTTGGAGAAGGGTGGTAGCCAGGATGAGATGACGACGCTGACGGAGTTCTTGGGCCGGGAGCCCAAGACGGACGCCTTCTACAAGGATATGGGATTGGCTTAGATACCAGCTCATTGAATTTAGACAGATTTGTCAGAATAAACCACCCGCAAATGGGGAAGACATGAATGAAATACAATGCATTCCGACGAAGATCTGGCTGAGCTGTATTCCTATAACCATGGAGCTAGAAATCTTAACCAAGTCATGTCAACCTTCCGCTTTTGCTCAGATACTATTTGGCTGTGTCCGTGGCTGGCAATTGAATTCAAATACCACGTACGTCACTATCCTCCTTTTGGCGATTCCTGCAGATTGGCGCTTTATACGCAAGGATCCAGTCATAGCTCATGCGGTAAAACGAAAGAACACCATGACCATAGGAGCGGAGGCAATGTTCATTCCATTCCCTGCCCACGCCTACGCCCATGCCCATGCACATGATATAAGTAGTGCTTACTATCCTCCCCACTCGCCAGATCCCCTCATACTCAAGTAACGCATCAAACAAACATTCAAAATGACTCACCAGGTCCAAGGGACGGCGTTCATCACCGGCGCCGCGTCAGGTATACCCATACCCATACCCTTCTCAACAGCTTGCTGTCAATTCACCCACCTACCCAAGACCACAAAATATCCACCTTCCTCCTACATCCCCACTAACACCAACAAAAAAACAAATCTAGGAATCGCCGCCTCCACCACCCACAAACTCGCTCAAAATGGCATCTCCAACCTCGCCCTCGCAGACCTCAACGTCCCGGGCCTCGAACAAATCGCCAAAGAACTCAAAGCGACCCGCCCCGATCTCCGAACCCTGATTCTCCGGGTCGACGTATCCTCCGAAGACTCCGTCACGGCGGCGGTCCGCAAAACCGTCGGCGAATTTGGCCGCATCGATATCGGGGTGAATTGCGCGGGCGTGGCGCAGGAGATTTGTTCGACGCATGAGACGCCGAAGGAGACTTGGGAGAGGGTCGTTGGGGTGAATCAGACGGGGGTTTGGTTGTGCCACAGGGCGCTGGTGGGGGTTATGTTGGGGCAGGAGTTTGTGGTCCTTTTCTTTCTTTCCTTCCTTTCCTTTCTTTCTTTCCTTCCTTTCCTTCTTTGATTCGGGCCTGTGGGGTGGTATGCTGATTTGTTCTGGATTCGGTTGATGTCAATCTAGATCTTTAGGTCCGCGCCGTGGTCGAGGCGTGATTGTGAATGTTGCTTCTTCGTTGGGCGTCACGGCGGCGGATGTTGGGTCGCCAATTAGTTGTTATGTTTCTTCGAAGCATGGTATGTTTTTCATCCCTTCATGTGCTCATTGATAGGTAGAGTTCGCGAGATACTAACCCAGCTCCTCCTACAGCAATAGTCGGATTAACCAGAACCGTATGTCAACTATTCCTCATCTCTCCCTCAACCCAAGAGCAGACTTAGCCCTAACAACCCTCAACACAGGATGGACGACATTACGCAAAGGATGGAATCCGAATAAATGCGCTCTGTCCGGGGTATGTCTCTATACCATCTTCATGTCCACTCTCCCCCATCTCCTAAAACTAACATTCACTAGATTCGTCGCAACACCACTCATCCAACCCGGAATCGACGCGGGGAATTTCGCGCGCGACATCGAAGCCCTTCCGATCGGGCGGGTCGGTCAACCGGAGGAGATCGCAGATACGATTCTGTATATGACGTCGCCGATGAGTAGCTTCATGGTTGGGGCGGCGGTGGTCGTGGATGGGGGGTATAGTCTTTAGGTAATTGGGCTGCTGGGCTTCTGTACTCACTCATTTTGGGTGGTCGGGGGCACGGGGTGGGAGGAAAGGGATGAGATGGTTTTAGCTACACTAGGTAGGAGGTCTCGGGCTCAATTGGGTATGCTACAGGTTGGTTTGCACAAGGGGGATATACGAACCTGGAATGTGGAATTTACTCCGTAAAGAGCGAACTCTTCAACAATTCTGCACTTCTGGATGCGTTTGTATGGAATTATAGTTAAAGTATAGAGAGCCTGGAGTATATCTGCCTCGTGGTGTCATTCCTCATGTACTTCCATACACGCAGACCTTCAAAGGTAATGCAAAACCGGGCAACCCCGTAAAGTCAGGGCCTCGAGTCTTATGTCACCATATCTCCCATTATATCATCCGACATGAAGGTTTGGATCGATCGTTGACTTGAACTCTATATTTATTCAACCAGGTTTTCCCGTCTCCGCAGACATATAAAAATTCCCAACATGCCTCATCCTTGTACAGTACAAATAAATATCTAAACCTATACCTCCATCTTCTACACCAACATAGTCTACTTATATTAACTTACCAATCCAAGCTCAAACGAGAGAAAAATGTCCCTCTCCTTCACCGTCTACCGCGGCTCCTCCGACGGCAAGATCATCGCCGACGTCACCACCCGCGACCTCCAGCACAACGAAGTCTACATCGAAACCACGCACTCTGGGATCTGCGGCACGGATGAACACTTTCTTCACGCGGGCTGCGTGCTCGGACACGAGGGGATTGGCATCGTCAAGCAGCTCGGTCCCGGCGTGAGTTCCGTGAAGGTTGGCGATCGCGTAGGGTTTGCGTATATTCGCAAGGTGTGTGGGGTTTGTGATAATTGTACTTCTGGTATACTCTCTCTTTCCAAACTATTACCATCAATCCCAGTCCTATGCCATACTATATGATATACCATCCAGCCAGGTGTCTAGTGATTTGGTGATTTAGTAATCTAACAGAGAAAACCAGGCCTCGACCAATACTGCCGCCAAAAACGCGCCTACGGCACCCACGACTTCGACGTCGGCAGTTTCAGCCACGCCACCGTCTGGGACGCCAGCTGCATCTTCTCCATTCCAGACGCGCTGGCCTCCGTAGATGCCGCACCTCTCATGTGCGCCGGCGGCACTGTGTGGTCGTGTCTCACGCAGAACGGCATCCGGGTGAACGACCGCGTCGGGGTCCTGGGTATCGGCGGGCTCGGACATCTGGCGATTAAGCTTGCGTCGGCGTTGGGGTATCATGTTGTTGCGTTGTCGGGGTCTGAGAAGAAGAGAGAGGAGGCGAGGGAGTTTGGGGCGGATGAGTTTCGGGTTCTGAAGAGGGATGGTAGGATCGAGGGGGATGGGGATGGGGAAGATGAGATGAAGCCGATTAAGCATCTGTTGGTTTGCGGGAGTGGTGCGGTGGAGTATACTTCGTAAGTTGATCGCCTCTTTCCACCCTTGACATATACCTTTACCGGTCTAAAGAACCATCCCCTCTTCATCTGCTCCTGCTATACTTCTAGATAACTAATCTATATCTCCCCGGCAGACTAATCCCCTTAATGGACACCACCAGCACAATCTACCACATGGCAGTATCCTTCGAAAACACACCCATCCCGACCCTACCGTTACTCAGCAAGGGCATCCGCATCCAAGGCTCGTTCATCACCTCGCGGAACAACCTGCAAGAGCTACTCGAATTCGCGGCACGCAAGGATATCCGGCCCGCGGTCGTGAAGTATCCGTTCGGCGTGGAGGGTATTCAGACTGCGATGGGGGATTTGAGAGACGGGAAGGTGAGGTATCGTGGGGTTTTGGTTAGGGAGGGGGTGGAGAGGAATGGGTTTTGATTTGGAGGGTCATTTTAGGGGGGTTGGGGATGATCTGGGGGATATAGTAGACAGGAGGATGTTTCTAAAATTGATATAGCAGGTTCTTTTGTTTGAAGTGGATTATCTTGTCAATTAGACATTTATTATAAGAGGTCATGCGTTATAGGTCCTATTCGTTTACTATTTCCTATAGTAGTAGAACAAAAGTTGAAACCATAGAATACTTCTAGTAGCCGTGGGGGGTGGGGCGGGGGGGGGGGGGCGAAAGAACAAAAGAGCCACAAACAACAGGAGGGCGTAATTAAATTTTAAAAGAAAAAAAAAAAAAAGTGAAAGAGTTGATATTTAAAT